ACTGGTAATGGGCGTCGAGTGGAGCCTATTTCTATGTATCAATTGCAACAGTTTGAAATAATAAATTTGATTTGCTTTAAGAATATTATACTTGATAAAGAGTGGCTGCGTTCTTGAAATCCTTATGTCGTCTCTATAATTTTCGCATATCCTTAGTATCTTTTTTTGTAAAATGATTAGTTTATTGTAGTTTGTAGCTGTTGTTGTACCTCACATCATGATGCCGTAACTGATCCTAAAATAAGGAGTAATATAAAGTTAGTTTAGCCAGGCAGGAATTAGATTTTGAATTTTATAAATAATGCCAGTAACTCGGGACGAGTTGGCTTTTAGTTTGCTGACGTGCATATTCCAAGAAAGTTCCTCAGTAAACCAAACACCTAGAAATTTTTGTTCAACCACCTGCTCAAGTACCATGCCTTCAAATTTGATGTTTATAATGCTGTCATCTCGGTTCCCTGTTGGCTTAAAAATCAGATACTTAGTTTTATTGGTATTGAGGTTTAAACTATATATATTTGTAACCATTTGGATAGTTTTGTAAGATATTGATTGGCTACTTTTTCTACACTCTTTTTTGTTAAACCTGGAAAAAACACATTTGTGTCATCTGCATACATTGTCGTCTCGGGGCAACCTGCTATATCTGTTATATCATTTATATACACTAGAAATAGCGTCGGCCCTAAAATAGAGCCCTGAGGAACACTGTAACATATTTTCATTTTACTAGATATCATATGATTTACGCACACGTATTGGTACCGGTTCGTGAGATATGTTTTAATTTTAATGCCACTCCACATACTTCGTACATTTGAAGTTTTTTAAGTAAGATACCGTGTTGTACGGTGTCGAAAGCTTTCTTTAGGTCTAAAAATAAACCTAGAGTGACAAGTTTTCTCTCAATATTCTCAACTATTTTATCTTTTATTTCAATCAGGACTGATTTGGCAAACTTGTTTTTCTGGAATCCATACTGAAATTTAGAAAATAATTTGAAATTTTTGAAAAAAAAATTATTTTGCCTCTTATTGATAAGGCGTTCAAATATCTTTGAAAACACTGAGAGAACAGATATCGGCCTGTAATTATTAACTTCAGTTTCTCCTCCGCCCTTATACACAGGGATTACTTTTGCAACTTTTAGCTCATCAGGGAACTCACCAGTCTCTAGCATCTTATTTAGTATTATATTCGATAATACTGGACTTATTATGCAAGCGGTGCATTTAATTGGTAAAGCTTTAATGCCATCCTCACCTGCAGCCACAGTGTTATCGAAACTTTTTATTATTTTGTAAATTTGTTCATAAGTCGTTGGAGCAAGCATAATCGAATTTTGTTTATTTTTTGATCTTACACAGTCATCATTAGTTGTACTTTTAGCCGTGCACGTGCCAATATTGATAAAATGCTAATTCGTTGCGTCTGCGAGCTCTTTTCCTGCCACATTTACATTATCGATTATCAGTTCTGTGACACTACAGCGTTTTTGCTTTTTGTTTGTTAGATCGTTTACTGTATTCCAAACTTTTCGATGGTCATTGTGAATATGCTGAAATTAATTTTTATAATACTCACATTTTGCTTGTTTTAAGTCAGAGTTCAACTTGTTTCTAAATTTTTTAAACTCGGACAGTAAACTTAGAGTAAACTTAGATTGCGATGATGTATGAAAGCATGGTACTTGCAGTCTTTTATTTTTATTCTTTTATATAAATCATTTGTTATCCACGGTTTCCTAATTTTTTTAGGCTTGGTTTTAGTTTCACATAGAGGAAATGCTATATAATAACAGCGTTTGAATTTAGACAGGAAGTCATTATAGGATTTCGTCGGATCATGTTCATTATAAACGTCTTCCCAGTTTTGTTGATCTATTACAGGGGTGGCCAAGCTGCGGCTCCCGAGCCGCATGCGGCTCGTCGCTTGTTAAATTGCGGCTCGCGGCTCGCGGCTCCCTTCCTTATCTCTCTCCCTTTCCCGCCTCCCTGCGGGTCACATGAGCCCTTCCCCAAAAAGAGAATAGGGATGCAGATTAAATCGAAAGACAGGTTGCGGTTTGGTAGTGTTGTGCTATACTGCTACCTTATGCACAGTTGGGCTGCTTTTGATTCGGATAGATTGAAGCTAGTTCAAGTTTCGTTTATTGCTCTGGACAAAAGTTTGCCCCCCCCCCCCCCCGCGGCTCTTGGAAGCTTTGTGGTTTTGTTTGCAGCTCTTAGGCCGGATCAGCCTGGCCACCCCTGATCTATTACTAAGTAACCAAAAATTGTTAGCATTTCTTTGCCTATTTTACGGTGACGTTTTTCTTTATTTAGATTACTTTTTGCGGTTGAAAGAATTGCAATGCAGAAGATAGGTAAATGGTTGCTTATGTCGTGCAAGATAACGCCAGCTGAGATCTGGTTACATTCCATGTTTGTTAGACAAGCGTCAAGTGATGTCGCAGTGGCTGAGGTAACCCTAGTAAGCAACGTTATGGCGTTGTTGCAGGCGTATTGTTGAATAAGATCACTGAATTCTCTTGCATGTCCGTCATCCAAAGCAGAGTCTATATTCATATCGCCAAGAGTCATAAATGATAGGTTAGGCCCCAGAGCACAAAATATGTTTTCAATGAATGACGTAAATGCATGCACGTTGCCGTTAGGTGGCCTCTACACAGCTGCGACTACAGTATGTGGGAACTTAACAATCAAACATTCTACATCATCATTTATTGTTGTTAAATCATCTATAATCTGATATTTTAGGTTTTTACATAAATGGCTATACTGCCCCCCCCCCCCCCCCTTTTTGTTAACTCTGCACACATTTTCACATCTATAACCATGCAGAAGTGGCCGCAAGTCCTTGTTTTTTAATATCTGAAAGCTATATCTGTTTGTGTGTTAGAATCATGCAAACACGGTAAAGCGAATCAACTGCGTCCGCAACCCCTTTTACCATGACACAGGATGTCGTAGCAAATTCTCGCATGTTTATAGCATCATAAAATACAAATTTGGCGTGTCCTCAATCAGTTTCTGTTTCTCTGGTTTGTAGCGGATAGCCCAGGGCTTTACCGCCCTTTTTATAACTTTTTGCTGTCACATCTCCAAAGATAGCCCACCCCATGTTTTTCTCAATTTATCTCTTCAGTTTGGGTGGGCGTCGTTACGGGGTGTCCTTACGGGATTTTACGGTAGGTATGTAATACTCATGAATGTCGGTCTACTTGCCATATACAGTGTGGACCGCATATAACGTATGTCCCGGGAGTCGCGAAAATCTGCACTATAAGCGGTACTGCGTTATAACCAAAACATCAATTTTTCAGGCCGAAATACATGCCAAGAAACAACTTACCTTTGTAAAAGAATTTATTTTATGTTAGGTGAAAAATAAAGCTTAGTTTGAGGAAAGTCTTTATTTCACCAGACTAGTACAGTTCTGTCTCAAGTGTGTCACACATTTTGAAAGAAATGAGCGGCTTTTGCCTGGCGCAGCCTTTTAACGGCGTCGCGGGTTGCGGACGGTTGTTGCGAGCGTTCAGAATTGCTAACCCTAATCACTTTTCTCCGGAGATGAAAACGCGTGAAAATTCGCATCCTTCGTACGGTACGCGCCAGTAATACCTTGAACTTGAGCACACGCATGAAATGCGCCAAATAAGAAATCTGGGCGATGTTCGAGAACACAAATGCTTAGAAATCACCACTGTAGTCAAAGTAAACAAATACAACGACACGGGCGTTTCTGCCGTCTTGATAGCGCCGCCACGACATCGCCGCACGAGTAGGTGGATCTTCCCTTCTAGTACGTGCTGGGTTATCATAGCGACACACAACGAAAATTCACAGTCAAGGATAGCGCTTTTACGCGGAACGATGAGATGAACGCCGTCTACGACGACGATCACAACCGACGCCATGTTTGCGGATAGAAGCAGCCGGCCCGCGACCGGCATGCAACGCGCGTGAACACTTCTCCTCGACCTGTGATTGGTCTGTCGTTGTGGTTGTTTTTCAACGCAGCGGAGGGACGCACGCACGTGAACGACACGTGCGTGCGTCCCTCCGTCGCTATGGCAACTGAAGCCTCTCTCTTCGCTTCTTCGAGCAATCTCCTTGCCCCGTGAGTGCCGTTTGCGCTCGCGCCGGCAGCGCCGTTATCTTGTGTCGCACAGGGAAGCGTGCTCGCTGCTCCGGTCGTCGGCGCGGTCGGCGGGCTGTGCCAGAAACCGCACTATAACCGGTATTTCCCTTCGCGCGCCTGCATTTTAAGCGGTATGTAATTACATGGAGTTCTATGGGAGGCTAACCGGTGGTTTAAAAAAACCGCGTTATACCCGGTCCTGCACTATAAGCGGTTACGTTGTAAGTGGTCTATACTGTAATCTGCCATTTTCGAAAGAACTGGCACCGCCTGTTCGAAAACTGAGTTTGAGGATTCCTTGGCTGAAACGATGAGTGCCATCAGGAGGGAGAAGGGAAAAAGCATCTTTGAAGGAGTTTGGGAGAGAAAGCTAAAACATAATAGACAGAAAAGTACTTTGGTTGGAGCTCTATCTAGATCACTGGATCTCACAAGAGCCGCAGGATCTAGTAGACTTCATTTCAACTTGCTACGAACCACGAATGACGCAATGAGTCATCAAGTCAATCCAGCGCCATGCGAGTGTTGCATGACCTTGGCGAGGGGTACACGCACGGGGCCTGGTAGTCACATGATTCACTCACTGCGTTCAACTGGCTTGGATGGCTCGTAGCGTCCGCCGTGGTAGATCATAAGGAGATACAGTGTATAGCTCTTTTTCTCAAGGGAGTGCCTGCACTTGCTTGAGCACATGGTTTCCATACCAAAATCTCCTGAATTGCTCAAGGGAGTGCCTGCACTTGCTTGAGCACATGGTTCCCATACCAAAACCTCCTGAACTGTCGGTTTTGGAAAGCAGTAGATTTTTGGTTCTTCAGTTAGCCCTTGTGTTCAAGCCGCTGTTTCGACCCTTCCAGGTTCCTTCCCGAGAACAAGGGCAACCTGAAGCCGCTCACGTTCCTCGCCTTTGGCGCTGGTCCACGCAACTGTGTGGGCATGCGCCTGGGCATTCTGCAGGTCAAGGTGGCTCTCGCCTGCATACTGGAGCACGTGAGGTTTGAAACGTGCAAGGAGACAATGGCACGTTCCTTTCACTACCTCCTCGTTGAAACCTCCGCTGTTTCTGGCAGCTCAAAGTCTTTAAGCTTTTGAAAACCCCATGTACCGTGAAATACCGAGCGTGTGTTTATGTCGCGATATATGCCAAACCCCTAATTTAGAAACATTTGAAATGTAAGCGAAGGACATGTCGAATTCCCATCCCAGCAAAGTTGTGAGCCTACCGTGCTAACAAAATGTTCCTCCACGCCAGACCTTTTTCCGAGAAGTTAGTGCAAGGCAGTGAAGCTTTGCGTGCATGCACGGGTGCGAAGTGGTGAAGTTTGATTCGACAAGGCTGATGTGAAGGGGGCTTGGTGGAAGTGGCGCAACTGCTTTTAAAATTCGAGATTTGCTCAGACCCCCATACTGCTTCTATACCGTTCTGTCGTATTAAAGGGTCCCTGAAAAGAAAAAAAAGTTTTTTTTTAAACAGTCTGGTTGGGACACGCGTGTCAAAAAATGAATTTTACGTGAAAAAAAAATTTTTTTTAGAGCAATATTGACGGAGAGAGATTTATTTGAAATTTTGCGCGCAAATTCCAGGTCATTCAGCTCGGCTTCTCATTGGTAACCATGGTCATTCAAATCGGCTTCTCATTGGCCAATAGAATGAGTGACAGCTTAGATGTTGGTTATAAAATCTTCGTGATCTCTTGCGATCGCCTTTTGAATTACATATTTTTAGGTTTAAGAAACAATCCATCGAATGATTGTCGCAATTGCTTGCAAATGTTTTACAAAATCGTAACTTCCGTTCGGATACTACAACAAAACAACAAACAAACGCTTCGCCATTTTGTTTTCTGTCATGGTCGCCGTCGTTGTAACGCGTCTCGCGTACCTCGGGTGGTTTTATAGTTTTATCGAGTTTATATGTGAAAACCTTCTGAAGAGGGCTTGTTGCTTGTGTTAGTTAGTCATCGTAAGTACTTACGAAGTGGCGCGGTGTGACAGGTTTTTGTTTTCCTGCTCTTCTTTGCGTGATTCGTGTGTCCCGTTTACCCCACCTTTTGTATGTTTTCTGGCGAGCGCCAGTGCCAATATTTTTTTTTTAGATATCGGTTCCCGTAAAGAGTTTAGTGAAGGCACGCGGCACCGCACTCAACGTTTAATAAAAAAATTAGTCACCACTGCGTGTCCTCGCGGCGGCTTGAAGGGTCGTGCGGCTCGGACGAACTTGTCGAGGCACCCGCTTCGCCACCTTCCGCAGCGAAGTGGGTGCCTCCTCGCGTGCGGTTGTCTCGCGGCGATCGGAGCGGACGCCTTCCGGCTGGCGAGGCGTGTCCTCGTACGGGCGAAGGCCCAGCTGCTGGCAGCATTGAAGGGTTGAAGCAACCGACGCTTCAGGTCGGGGTCCATCGCGACGAGTATGTACTGTGTGACCACGGTACGTGCACGATACGACGAGGTACGTCGTGCGACCGGCAGACACAGGGGCTGTGTTCCAAATCTCCAAATGGATCTGAGTTATTCCGTCGGATCGTATCACGTGACAGCACAGATTGAAAAACGCTGTACGCAGGTAAGTTTTAGAACGCCAAGGGTACAAAACTCTTACCCTGGGGTAAGATCGAGTAAATTTTGGAACACGGCCAGGAAGTAGCAATGGCTCTCGTGCGGGGCGCAGCCAAGCCGGGAAAGTAGCCAAGCTGATCCACTACGAAGAGGCGGGGTGTACCTCTTTTCCACCATTTCCACGCGCCCGAAATGCCGAGAGAGAAAAAGGTGGAAAGGAGGTGACTGCCGACTAAATTGCGTCTGGCGTGGTCAGTATTGCTCTAAAAAATTTTTTTTTTCGCGTAAAATTTATTTTTTGACGCGCGTGTCCCAACCAGACTGTTTTTAAAAAAACTTTTTTTTTCTTTTCAGGGACCCTTTAAACAAAGGCCTACTCTCTCATGTGCCCCTTTTTGCTTTTTTGCTCTCGGACCTAACGGGCACCTATCCCCATTTTTTTCGTGGTTATCTTCAACTTTTGAGTGGGTGCTTGCTCGGTATTTTACGGTAGTTTGCTTCCCAGTAGGTACTGTTTTGTCTTTTTAAAATTGTGAATATTTTAAGCAACTTTCCTTGTCCTGTAGCGAAATTTGTAGTGAAGCAAAAGATTTTTTGGTTTTTGTTTTTTTTTCAAATGCAGCTTTACCCATATGTGAAGTATGCTGCTTTATTCCTGTTGCAGATCCCACTGAAGTTCAAGCCGAGGAACCTTCTTCCTCAAATGGATGGGCCCCTGATGCTTCGAGTGTTGCTGCGGCGTGATGATGAGTAGCGGTGCCGTCGACAACTAGAAAGCTGAAGTGCAGCAGAGCCTGGAAGGTTCTATAAAAAGAGGAAAGCTCCGAAAGCATTGTAACGCAGTCAACCACTTGCTAGGAGACTAACTCTAGTTGCTTGAAATCTGTTAATGCATACATATGTGTTTTCCACGTTCCTCATAGGGTATCCTACTCAGGGAGTTTTCCATCGAACTGCATGTCTTGATTTAACCAAATAAGAAGGGGAGAGAAGGGAAAAAAACATTGGTAGTACTTTGCTTTCTTTTGCACTCAGTGGTACACTCTTGATTAGCCCATTTCATGCTGTGTGTCTTTTGACTGATATATATAGAAAATTGCTGATAGTACTGATCTATACAGTAGAATCTCGAGGGATTGCGGAAAATATTCGTATTATCCGAAATTCATACGTGCAAAAAAACGAGTCTTTTTTTTTTTTTGACGTCACCCAGGAGGCACTTTTGGAACATGTTGAAACGTGCGCACGTGTCTTCGCTGGCGTTGATCGAGCTCACTATGGGTCCACATCACGTAAGCGAATTATGTTTTAGTGAACAGTGGTCATTTCATCGAATCGACACTTTATCGAATAACTGGGGCATGTGTTAACCCTCCCCCCTGACTGCGTTCATCACGCCGCTTGGCGGCGACAGTCTGTGGCGGCTCATTGCAAAATTGTTAGCCCACCTGGCCCACCCGTAAACGCAACTTCGAGGCGGCCGACCATTTGCATAAGTGTCTTTCGATAAAAAGTTGGAGTTTGTTAAAACGTCGTTCGACCATCTGAGTGCCACCCACCTCACTATGCGCCGCAGCACGTCGAGTGCATGCAGTGTTTCAGCAGTCGTCGGCGGTTGCTCGTCGTTAGTTACTTCACCGTCGTCATCTCTGCTACTTGACTCTCCTTGCGGTGCTGTCACTTTGTAAATAATTTCCTCGACAGTCCTTAATCTGCAAGTCGCGAGGTTGTCAGTCGCAGGAATGAAATCGAAGGCCGATTCTTCAGCACAAAGTAGGCCCCAGTCCTCAATTCTCAAGTTTTCTTCTGGCTCCACTGTATAATTTACGAATCCACACATGCGAAAGCAGTTTGATCAGTGTTGACCACATGATCAACGCTAATTACGAATGTTATTTCTCATTTTTATTCGAGTGATTGAGAGTTACTAAAACCCGTTTATCACTTCACAATAAAAAAAAAATGCCCTGGAGTAGGTGAATGCGAATTACTCCAGCAAGTCGAATTTGAATCACGTGACAACACAGATAGTGCAGCCGCGCTGGACGTGGGTATGTTTTCGAATTTCTGAACTCACCTACAGTTATTGTGATTGCACGGCACATGTGTAGAAAGAACGGCGAAAAAATTGACACGAAAACACCTTCTACGGTTGTAGGAGCTGAGTGATGCCACCCTAAGGGATGTGTAAACATTGTGGATCATGGTTCGTATGATCCACCGTGGCCGAGAAAGCATTCATACTATCTTGAAACATAACATGTACATGTACAGCCGCCCCCAAGCCCCCCCCTTTAGGGCAACTTTGTTTTTTACGGAAAAAATGACATACACCAACGTTTTTTAGGAAGGACTGTTTATTTTTTGCTGAAATGGCAAATATTAGGTCCACAAAATAGGTCTGGTGAACACTTTGCCCATGATGTCAAATCTCTCTGCAGATTCCCCCTCGCCTTTCCAGCCAAATGCCCCCCCCCCCCCCAAGCTTGACCTATAAATCTGCCCCTGTCTATTTTAACTTTGGTAAAAATAAGAAAGGAAAGCTTGCATTTGGAAACAACAGAAGGAAGCCAGCACTCAAACCGACACAGATGCACATGGTGACCATTGTGTCGCGCACCACCGTGCAGGAGACCAAAAACATTCTCGTGTCACAGGAATGTGTACAACATTGTATACAGTTATGGCTACGGGCTTGTAAGCCTTTAGCTCTACACTGACAAATGGCTGATTACATTTTTGTTTTCTTACAGCAAACAGTGTTTCCCCCCATCCTTTAATTTACCAGTGGCTCTTTTCTGGGATCTATTTAACTTGATGGGGACCTCGTTTGCAAGTACATGAACGCTAAAAGCTCTTGTAGTACAATCCTATGCTAGACTTGCAACCTTGTAGTAATGACTATCGGCAGGGCAAGCTTTTTTTTTTGATTAAAGTGAAAGTTGTATGCATATTTTGGCGACCTAATAGATATTAGGAGAATCAAAATCAATAACTTCTTGTTCCCTGTATCTAGGCCACAGTTTAAAAGATGTTTTATTCAAAATGCCAAAGTTAAACACACTGCACTCTTGCTCATATCTTGCTTTCTGGTTTTGTTTGCTTTAAAAGCCAGATTTTGTGACTCTTGATCTAGGCATTGAAAGAGCACAGTCTATTCTGACTGTTTTATGCAATTATTTGTTGTCTTTCCCATGCCAAAAAAAGTGCCAGGTAGACAAATCTTAGATTTGCCTCGAGAATTGTTAGCAACATTTTTTTTTATGGGAGCATGCAGTATTTGTGTCTGCCCATTTCGTTTTTGTGTTGCAATTTTATATGAGCTTGTTATTGATATGGATGCCGGGATCAGGAAGGTTTTAAGTTGCTCTTAATTGTGCCCCTTTACAGCATAAATTGTAAATTGCCTGAAGATGCATTTAAAACTAATGCCACATAATTACTTTGAAGAATTACTAGTCTCTCAAATTTATCTGTGTTAGATGATATTGAGAGGGACCAGGTTGCAAAGAGTCATTCACATGTGCACTGCTCTACCTACTGCCACAGCAAATATGCGTTCAGCTTGGTTAGTGATTTGTGATTTTGTGCATAAAGGAATATAGGAGGGACATGTAGCAGTAGGCCGGGATTGCATTTATTTCATGTTGTTGCTGAGATGTCCAGTAATAAAGTAATATGTGAATGTTCTCCAAGTTTCACATTTTTTATCTATACAAATAATGAGTGGCCCTATACCTGTATCTAAAGTGAATAGCAAGTTTTCTATACTTGAATTTATGTCACGCAATCATTTTTGGTATTTACTGACTTCCGAATGTTTGAGAGCGCTCTAATAGCGAAATAACTGACAAATAAAAACATTTAGAGTATGCGCTTTTGCACCTTCGCAAAGCAATTTACAATGGAATTGACTGTAAATACACAAAACGCTTGTATAAGTTTTTGTTTTTTTTCGGTGCCACCTTGCAAAAAAAAGAAAAAAAGGGTTTTGAGGATTGCCATGATAAAACAATGTGTGGACTAGGAAGGAGAGGGAGCAAGCATCCTAGAACAAACTTTTAGGTTTAAATATAAGCCATTGTTGAAAATAAATTAAACTAGTCAAGTACCAGGGAAGAAGAGAGCAGCAGGATGGCAAGCATGCAGATGAGATCGGGGCCTGTGCTCGCAGACGGCGAGCGTGGAGCTTGTTCCCCTTTCTTTTGACCATTTTTTTTTCTAACGATGGGAATACTATCGGGAATTAAAGCTCTTCAGTTTCTTGTGAAGCTGCCGCTGTTTCCTGGGTCCACAAAAGGGACTCTGGAGGAGCCCAGGCTAGGTCTCTGAAGCTCAGTGAAGCCAGCAGGATCTAGCTTCCTTGGGCGAGAGAATGCCCGCGCTCGCTTGAGCACATGCTCACATATTTACATACCAGAACCTCGCCAAGCGATTTCCAAATATTGTCCATTGGTATGTCTTTTTCCTCGCCGTACCCAACCCCCTTTGAGCATCTTTTGAATGGAAGCAAGCCGGTTTTGTGGCAAATGCTAGATTGATGTCCTGAAGCCAAAAAACTAGAACAAGATTTATTTCTAGGTGATTACATTTCTGCAACTGTATTCATTTTCGTTTGAGCCCCTGCTTTTGCATTCTTCACCGCGACATTCACTCCAATGTCTCCCGACAAAGGACTGTTCTTAGGGAGAAATTAGCTTGACGTTCGGAGAAATTACGAAATAACTTATTTTTCTTTGGTGTGTAAGCTGGGTCTGACAAAGATCGGTCATCACTGATCTCCTTTATTGTACAACCCAAAGAATAGGGCCCCATTGCGAGTCCCGACGCAGCCGACACTATGAACTGATGGGACCCATCAAGCAGCGTCAGAAGTGCAAGTCGATGGGCCTTTTTTTTTGTGATTGGTCCAACGAGGTATAGGCCAACTCCAGTGGTGGTACTATGCTTGGCAGGCGGCTATTCACTCTCATTGCGCCTAACAAGTCGCAACATCAAGGGACCATCTGTTTCTGGAATCATGTGTCTTGGTTTAAACCTCACGGGGACCTGCAATGAGAAGCACAGAAAGAAATTCTTAGTAACATTTCTTTGAAGGAGGGGGGGTGGGACCTTTTTATTTATTGTCAGTGACAGGTTAAAAGTTCAGGGGAAGCTCCTCCCACCTCTTTCTACTTCTGCTTCAGCAGAGCGAACACTGGAGAGGAGGTGACCTCCGCTCCAGCTATCGCTCTGCTAAAGTGGAAACAGGTAAGGGAGCTTCCACCGACCTCTAAACCTCCTTGTTAATTTTTTTTCTCAGCTTTATATTTATTATATATATTTTTTTTTAATTTGTGACGCTAGTTCAATGTATGAGCCCAAGCGGAGGCATCTCTCAGAGCAAGATTCAGTATTTCTGTCCTACGATTTCAGGATTTTATTGCCTAAAATCTGACTGTTGCGCCGGCAGTCGTAGACTAAAAAAAAAACGGTACTGATTTTCCCGTTTTTTATAACAGCGTCTCTTACAACATCATTTCACCACATTGCCCAAGTGCTGCTTTTGAGAGTATTTCAGGTAACATGCTCATTTTGTCCGTTTAGATTTGAGACTGGGAAATAAACAATATAAGTTAATTTAATTACGTTCGACGTAAAAAAACAAAACGCTGCAGCAGTTAGGGCTGTCTTAGAAAGAGATGCAGTTGGTATTTCATATCCATATGTAGAGGAAATCGGATTTTCTCTGCCACTGTGGGAATTTGATGTTGACAGACGACTTGCAATTACGCTATCTTGAGCTGCCAACATTACGTTCAGGCACGTAGCCAAGGGGGGGGGGGGGGGGGGCATGGGGTCCGGGCCCCCCGAAATCTTCCATTTTGCTGGGACCTCCTCTCCCCCTCATACAGCATTTTGTCATAGGCGGCGGCCGCCCCCCCCCCCCCCCCCCCCCCCCCACACACACACACACACCCAGTGATGTGATTGCTGCGCCAATTGCGCCAAACGGCGCCAAGGGGCTAACCCTGCTACATTCTGCTACATTTTGCCAAAATATGGGTAATCTGCGCCAAGCCTGCGCCAAAGGACCAGTTTTGGTCGCTTTTCAAAACCGAAACTAAACTGAGTACCGTAATTGAGCATGCGTGAGTTAACTGGCGCAGGCGGCCGCCCACACAAAGTACCCTGCATCGATTGTGGCATTGTAACCCTGGAGCCGGGGAAAAGAAGGGACGTAGGACAGGCACAAAACTCCAATGTCAGTATTGAACCAGCTCGCCTGCACCCTTGCTTTAGTTACATTAATCGTCCATCCGGTCTCGCATGGTTTTTCCCGCCGTCTCTTCTTTCGCGCTCTCGTCGTCTCGTAAATCTAGTCTCGCGTTTTTTGTTTTTTTTTCGTTTTTTTTTTAAACGAAATTACATTTTTGCGCGGCAGGAGTCACTTTTTGAGCTGAAACACTCGCTTCTGAAAGCAACGGCCGTGGGAAAACTATTTGGTCCCCTGCCGGCCAGCCCGCACGTGGCTACAGATATGGACCTTCCTAAACTGAAACATAAGGACCGCCGCATGTTCAACATTCCTATTCTTGTTTATTACATACACTACTACAAAAATCCCTTTTTAATTTGAAGACTGCTGTGTGGAAGTATTGATTACCGAGGTTTCTCTTGGTTGGCTTTCTTTCGAGAGTGACCCAGTACATGAAAAATCTGTTGTGAAAGAAAGTTGGTGAAGAGACGTGAGCTAAAGCAAAGAAGGCAATATCTGCACGCTGAACCCGCACATCGCGCTTGTTTGTCTCGAGTTCAGTCTTTGCACAAAGCACTCCAAGAACGTTTTGACCCTGACTCGCAATGTCCTGCATCGATACCCTCAGGTTCTTTTTTTCTGTATGTTTAGCTTGTACCTCGCCTGCCGGCCTTGCAAGCACGCGCCGCTGAACTGTTTATTGCCGCATACTGGGCAGTTAGATTTTGCATACATTTTTGGAAACCAGTTGGCGACAGAGCGGAGAGGCATGGTTTTGGTTTCGATCGAACAGCCGTCTCCGCTCGCGCGACGAAGCACGTGCAGCTGCAAGCCTGCCGAAGTTGCCCTGACGTACATGCAAACATGATTGCACGACAGAGGCACCAGCCGGGACGCTTGCAATCCACTGTTTTACGTTTACTTGTGACGAAAATCTGGCACGTCGGGAATCAGTAAAACGGTGGCAAGCGGTTTTTCAGAATTGCTCGGCAACGCGTACAGCACTGTAAACTTGTAAGGTGTCTCAATGTATTTTTCGGGACATTGAAAGTGGACATTATTTTCTAGCCTAAGCCAAAGCGAAGCTTGCAGCAGCTTTCCAGAAAGTTTCGAAAAGCAAAAAGTACCCGCTAGTTGTAGTGCACCTTTTTCTTGTGTGCAATTTGGCATTGCACTGCAGTAGCTATATATATATATATATATATATATATATATATATATATATATATATATATATATATACATATGTTCCACCAGTCGGAGACTGCTTCCATTTATTATATTATATCACTAGTCAACCTATAGCTGTGATATTTACTACTGGTCATTTTCAAATAAATTTTAATATGTAAAGTTTGGTTTTCAAATAAATTTTAATATGTGAAGTTTGCTTCTTATCTATCTATGGTGGGTACATATATATGTATCATTTAAGGGGGACATGGGTCTTCGGAGCCAAAAACTTCCTGAAACTGCATTCTCTTGAAAACGGCAATGGCTGTTGTTCTTCTGAATCTACCAGGCTTCTAGTTTCGTGGATGAGTATTTGAGATATAAATCAATTTATAATGTCTATGCGGGCTGAATCTGCATTTAAGTTGACTCTAAAACATTGTTTTTACATTACATCAATTTTGGACTCACTGAAAATTTGCAGAAAGGATATCTCAGCATCTAAAGCAGTCAGAAATATAATCTTTCTTGAAATGTGTTTCTAAATGTGTGAAGCATACAATGTCGCAAGCAGATTTTTTAATTTACGTCTAGAAATTTTTTTATATGATCTTTTGCTTTATTACTTGTTCGCCATGCACTGAGCACTTAACTTCAATATGTTGTGAAATCACTAATAATTAATTTATCTTAAAAGTACTTCACCATTTTATTCTTTATACTTCGTGGTATCTGGCCATGTGTTAAAAAGGATATTTTGTTCAGCAGCTTTTCCATATCATTCCTCCAAACAAAGGCAGGCAAGTTTTAATTACCCTCAGGAAAATTCTACTGACTGAGGAAATATATGAAATCAGCACAATAAGCTGAACAAGCGTGTACAATTTCAATGAGTTTGGTCATGAAATAAGAAAAAAAAAAGCTCCAAGACCAGTGTTCCTTCTTAACTGAAACATTGCAAAATGTGTGCCAAAACCCACCTAGGGGTCTTTTGCAAAAAATGCAAAAGACTCCTAGGTGGTCGAACTTGACCATAATTCGTTTATTCCGGTGAGCAAAGTGTCCTTCGTTTGTCCAGCACCTAAAACAAATATTTGTATTTTTCTAAGAATATCTGCTCCAAAGGCCACTTTCTGTGCTCCGAAACACTGTTTTAGCTGCTCCAAAAGCCTTGTTTTGGCTGCTCCAAAGGCCACTTTTGCTGCTCCAAAACACTGTTTTGGCTGCTCCGAAAGGTGCTCCAAAACGACTTAGGCCAATCACATCACTGCACACCCGAAACAAAATCCTGGCTACTTTCCTGATTACGATACGTGGTAGCGGACCAAACGAGAGTTCACCATTGTCTCCGGGCACGCGTGAAACTTGAAGTGACGCAGCATGGAAGCCAAAGCCACCTTCGCCTGCACCATGGCCAGACGCATTCCCACGCAATTTCGGGGGCCGGCACCGAAGGCGAGATTAGTGAATGGTCTGATGTTGTCCTTGTTCTGGGGTAGGAACCTGGCCGTCAACGAAGAGTTGCACTTTTTTTTAGCGTTGCGAGGCTTCCGTGGCGCAGCTAACGCCGCGATCCAATGGAGCGTATCGGGCGGCGACAAAAAATGCATTGTCACGATGCTCGTTGTCCCGGCTGAACCAATCGCGGACAGAAAAAGTGCAGGATCGTGGCGCATTACACTGCGCGTGTTTGAGTCTTTTCGGTATATACCGATAAATACCCAAAATTAACCCCCGAGTTGGTCTTCTCTGAATCGGTGAAAACCGTAAAACCAAGAATTAAAACTGCCCTCAAAAAAAAGAAAAAGAAACCGTTAGTTTTACTGGAACATTTTTCTACCCTACTTGTTTTCTTTCGTTGACCCGGAACGCAGTTGCACTGAATTGTCCTTGGGGGTTCTTCCTTTCTATCGAAACCGCGCATACCTTGCCCGTTCCATTCTCTTATCTTTACCAGCAGATTACTCGAGAAAATATTGTAATTTATAAATTATAATATTTTCTTCAGTAATTATACAGTCACTTTAAAACACAAGCCCGATAAACACTGATACATCTCTGGCATTGAAATCGGACGTCGGAAAACACCGATTCAAAGAGGAAAAGATGAACACCGATAACTAACTTCCGTGAAAAAAAAGGAGATACCGAAAACACGGAACCCTAGACTGATAGCCAACGCACAAAGGCGATGGCAGCCATGACGATGCACTTTTGGCGCTGTCTGATTGGCTCCATTAGATCATTCATAGCTTCGGCTGCGCTCCGACTCGCAACAGTGCGTGGATGTGTGTTTGATTACCAGGATAAAAACAAATCGTTATTTCGAAAAAAAAAAAAAAAATAATTTGATTTAAATCAGTGAACCTAGAAATTTATTCTTTAGGACTAGATGTATTTATCAACATGGCAGATTGATTGATCACTTCGTTCGATCACCAATAACAATGGAGAAGAAAGATTTGGTGGAAATGTAAAGTACAGGTTAATGAACAACCTTTATTGAAGTAATCCCCGCTGTACTAAAACAAAACCGCCCTAATTTTTTTTTTCTAGTTGAAAGTTTTTTTTGTTGTTGTTGCTTGTTTTCAGTTGATTGCTATGGGACATCCATTTCACAGTTTTTCGTTTTGTTGCAGTAGGATGTGTTACGTAGCTGACAAACAATTTGGAAGGTAGAAATCGAGCTCACCGCTCCGATTTGCTCAGAGGAGAATGTCTTTTTGCTCGCGTCAGTCTTATATAAATCTTTCTTGCTTGGTGGTTATTCGGTTCAATTACGAAAGCATCAAATGATAGACAAGCGGCAAATAAAAAATTCGGGATTATTTTTTACGGGCACGGTTTAATTTAAGTCATGATTTATATTACGATTTAAATAATTGATTTTTATTCTCCACCCTGTCACTTTTATGCCCGGGGCACGGTTTAAGTTAAGTCATGATTTATGTTACGATTTAAATAATTGATTTTTTTTCTCCACCCTGTCACTTTTATGCCCGAGTCCCACTGGAGTGAAAAAACAGACGCACGACAGTGATAAGCCTCAAACCAGAGTCTTTTATCGCGATTGGACTGGCTTTCTAGACTAAAGATGCTCTGCTCAAACACGAGCATCATGCACGCGAGGGTATCTTCGGCAGGCTCGCAATCACTCGTGCTTACTTTACGATTAAAAATTAAAAACAGCGCAAGGACACGGACAAGAACAAGAAGGTAGACGAACAAGGCGCTGTTCGTCTACCTTCTTGTTCTTGTCTGTGTCCTTGCGCTGTTTTAATTTTTAGTCATGAAATACCAACTAGCCCAAACTTCCACGTTAGTCAACTTAATTACTTTACGAGCACCGAGCGACTAAACGCCTGCCAAAAGTACCATCGCGAGAATGCTGCATAGGTTTGAGGCTCTTCACTGTCGTTCGTTTCTGTTTGTCGCCCTGGTGGGACTCGGGCACCGAAAATGCAGCCAAAAAAAGAAAAAAAAAGGGGGGGGGGGGGGGGAGCTCGGATTAAACCAACAGAAAGCTAACATCGTTCATTATAATAGAAACAAAAAAAGAAATAATTTTTTTTTAACAGGGAGCGTGTTATATGGCTGGCACCTAACAATATCCAATTAGGTGCCATATCCGGTTAGGTGCTACATCCGGTTAGGTGCCATATCGGGTTAGGTGCCATATCCGGTTAGGTGCCAGCAACGGATGTTTTACTCCCGGCGGGGGGTAAAACATCACGATAATAAATTAAACTAATTTAAATTAACTAAATTAAACCAGTCGATAGCACATGTTTAGAACTGTAAGGATATAGTATTTAGCAACATTTGTGATTCATCTTCGGATATAAGGTTGCAAGTGTGTTACTAAAACGTTTAAGGTACGACTTTTGTCATTTTAATTCCTGGCACGAAATACGCCAGAGCAGTTGAGGTTAAACAAAACAAGAGGCCGCGCATCATACAGACAGAACTCGACAGAACTGAGTACGAAAATGAAGCAGCCGAAATGTAGTATTTAACCTTGCTCAACTGAATACTTTTTACGGGAGTCAAAGAAAGAATAAAAACACTTAAGGACAAGGACAGACAGCACAGTTCTTTCAAGAACTGTGCTGTCTGTCCTTGTCCTTAAGTGTTTTTTATCCTTTCTTTGACTCCCGTATTTTCACCAACACGCTCTTTCATCTTTGTTTGTTTGTTTGAATACTTTTTGCAAAAAGAAATTCGTTAACATTTTTTTTTTTTAGAGCGGCTTTGTTCGTGAAGGTTGTGGGGCTACTTTAGGCAAATCAAAATACCCCCCCCCCCCCCAACAGGCGTGTTTGACTTAAAATGAAACCACCCTATTAATAACATCCAGATGTGCGCTTATAAATCATACCTTTCAGGCTTAAACGTCTCGGGATCAGGGAAAAATTCCGGGTCGTAATGAATTCCCACAAAGGGGACGTCGATATTCATCCCAGGCTTGAAGGGAACTCCAGCGACCGTAGTTTCTTCGGTGCACAGTCTCATGATACTAAAAACAAAATAACAAAAAACAAAGGTTCAAAATGCTGCGTTGACTGGGTTATACGCGGAAAACAAACAGCGCAAGGACAAGGACAGAGTAGAAGGCGGTAGACACACACAGCGCTGTGTGTGTCTACCGCCTTCTACTCTGTCCTTGTCCTTGCGCTGTTTGTTTTCCGCTAATATGAATGACCAACTACCCTAACCGTCAACACTACTGGGTTATACGTCCACGGTTCTGCGATGCCCTTCCAATTGTTCATTTCTAGGGGTGTCGCGAACCGGCCGCGGTTCGAGTTCGACCAGGTTCGACTTTTTCGAACTTTTAGTGGAAAGTTCGTCGAACCTTGTATTGAGGTTCGACTCGTGTGCGCATGCGCGACAGGCTGGCCAGTTGGCTTCGGATTGGATGATAATGGCTAAGAGATGAATTAAGTGCAGCGCTGATCGGCTATTTCAGTCAATACAGTACTACAATTTAAGTTATTAACTTCTTCAGTGAATAGAATTAGTTTCTTTCAATTGCAGCTGTTCACAAAATAAAATAACCCTTTGCATAAGAAAAGAAATTCTCCAAACCTAGACATGCTTGTATCAAGGTCTGGCCACACTGTGCACAAAGTCGAACTGGTCGAATCTGGTGAAAAGTTCGAAGGTCGAACCCGAAAGTTCGACCAAAAAATCTGGTTCGACAAAAGTTCGCGACACCCCTATTCATTTCTGCATAACTGCAAACGACTAGCGACTAACGGCCTTTCCGGCCGTTAGTCGCTTGACGACTTAAAGGCCCAAGAATTTTAGAAAATAAAACTGAAGTCGGGAGGCACAGACTATGCAGGTGCGTTCCCCTCTAAATTTAGCGAGAAAGTCCGAAGTGATGTATAATCATGCGCCAATTAATTTCCCCCGCTAAATTTAGCGGGAAAACATGAAATGGTGCGCAATTATACACCTATACAGTTTCTCCGCTAAATTTAGCGGGGAATTTGCGTTACAGTTTTGTTGCGCACTTTCGTTAACCTTTTTTATTGCATTTTTGTTTCATGATACCCAAACCCTGGCGACGAGTTTTTTTGGCGACGTCACCTCGCGGGCGCCCTCGTGTGACGAAGCTGGTAGGATGCGATTAGACCACGCGAAAGCACGGAGTGGATATGTTAGTTCGGTTCTATGCCGATTAGAAACGTCTTTTTTTTTTCTTATTAAAGAAGCGCGTATAACGTTTTTGTGAGTGATCTTTCTAACTAATAACAGCGCCTCGAACTTGCTTTTTATATGAGATGTAAAATGTACAAAAACAAGCCCGGAGCTTCCGATCACAGCTTGCGCGGCGTGAGTCAGGGATATTCACAGCCTCTCTGATTTTTGTTTCCGCGGATCCGTAGAGGCTGCTGTAGAAAAAGGTTTTGCATTAACCAGAGTAAATGACGTGCTGTCTTCTTAGCTGTGCACGCGCGCACAGTTGTGTTGCAATGCGTTGCACACTTGTTTTAGCAACATTGAGCTTGCCGATCCCGACGCTTCTATCCAAGTGTGACTCGACAGTTGCTGCTTAACGAAATCTCGTCAGCAACTAACGCTTAGCTCATCCCGAATCGAATACGTGGTTAAGAAATTTGTTGCATCGCGACTTCAGCTCGAAAGCAAAGCAGAAATTTTTATAAATTTTTAAACTGTCGGCTATGGCCCGGGAAATTCAGGCAATTGAATAATTTGTCCTATCCTAATTTTACTAAGAATTGTTTACACATTTATAATTGCTCGCTGAGAAGCGCATCACACATTATGCCCATTTGGGTTCGCAAAAATTAAACATACAAACGGTATAGTAATTCATGGAGGGTGTGTTCCTAAATTTTGGGACGCTGAAGTGTCACCGACTTACTAGGTTACGACTTCGATCGTGAGGGGGTCTCGCACGTTTCGTGTCGACCGGGTGAATAAGCAGGGATTTAGTTGAAACGACTCCGGAAGCCGGCCACCTCTTCTTCCTGCCACTTATTTTGAGGAAATGTTTGTTTACTGGTTTACAAAATTCCAAAAGGAATCGATTAGGAACTAATACGAGACCAGCACTCGCAGAACACATTGGAACCAACAGAATACATGGAGTCGCTTTCAGTGAAGTGTTTACTACACACGCTAGAGGTTCTCGAATTTCGCTTTTCTATTTTAATTTTAATGAAACCTTCCTTTCTTAGTTTTATTTTGTCCGAATCATAATAAAAAATTCAACTTATTGGCCGTGGTAGATGTCGTAGTGGGATAAAGTGCTGGATATTCCATTTTTATCATCCAGCTTTTTGTACTGGGGTAGAAAACAGCACACCGCCATCCGAGCGCCTCGAAACCTCAGCTCCAAAACTATTTCTTCGCATGACTACGCTAGCCACGTGCGGACTACTTTGGTAAAAGGTCCTACTACCAATATCACTTCACCAAATAAACACAACGCGTGAGACAGGCTTGCTTAAGCAGGGCATGAAGCGAGCTGACGAACCCGGTTTGTCCTACCTGTGACGTCACAAACGATGATGATGACAGCTAGAGAAGCGCCCCATGTAGTTCGCACACGCCACCAATACACATTTTGTGTAAAAAGTGCCCACAGCTACTTCAGACATATTGCGCTGACCGAGATAGCAACATCACACTGTTACTACACTCGTTTCATTTACTCCAGCGGCATTCCACAATCTCCGCCGCACGGAGAGAGTTATAGACAGTATTTTGCACTTATTTATTTATTTGAAAATACTGCAGGCCTTTCTCAGGCCTGGCAGGTTATAGGCAACAATACACAATAATACCATATACAACGCTAAAAAAAAAGTAATACATAAATACATAACGACGGAGAACATAGTACATTGAAAATTCCATCAAGCAATGACACAAAAATTAAACACTTACAGTTCATAGAAATACATGCTTCATCAGATTACATTCAACGAATGCTGATACAAAAAAGATGAATTTTTAGGATATCCTACATGTTAAAGTCAATGACATTTTGGCTATAAGATGTCCTAAAAGTGCTTAGTCAAGCCATTTACGAACGATTGCGTTTCGCAAATTTTGATTAATTCCTCCGGCAACAAATTCCAATCTTCAATGCTATGAACAAAGAACGAATACTTGAAAGTGTCATTATGGCTGATGTACGGTTTGATCATTTTACTGTGGTTAGTTCGATTAGAGTGACTATGTGGTTTCTTAAAATAATTATCTGCTCTTATTTTAAAATGACCATGATAAAGTTGATGTATGAACTTTAAGCGCGCAATGATCCGTCTAACACCAAGACTTTGCATTTTCGATTGTTCAAGCAAATCGGACCATGCTCTCCGCGCGCCTATATTTTGAGAAAATAAATCTTAAACCCCAGTTTTGAATTTTTTCTAGACCGTACGAGAGATATAGTTGGTGAGGGTCCCAAATGATGCTTGCGTATTCTAACGTAGGCCGAATTAATGTCTTATAGGCGGTTAATTTGCATTCTAGAGTTGTATTTTTAAACTGTCTCCTCAGAAAGCCCATTTTTCGGCGAGCAATATTGCACACATAATTAACATGCGCGTCCCATTTTAAGTCCCGTGTTATTTGAACTCCTAAGTATTTAACTTGGTCTGTTTTAATTAGGGGGGGCAAGTCTCATACTTAAATTCAAGAATTTCTTTTTTGTGGGTTATTGTCATTGCTACCGATTTCTGTTAATTAATATTCAGTCCCCATTCCAGACACCATTTAGATAAAGCATGTAATGACGAATGCAAATTTTCTTGATCGTTCTGCTCAGTTACATTAGAGTATAAAACGCAGTCGTCCGCGAAAAGTCTGACCTTTGTTGATGGGTGAACATTATTGCCTATGTCATTCACATAGATGAGAAACAACAAGGGCCCGAGCACTGAGCCCTGTGGCACACCAAACTACACACTGAGAGAGGATGGACACCTTCCACCAATTTCCGCAAACTGCTCGCGCGCACTCAGATAGGAACTTATCCAAAACACAAGTTTGTGATTAATACCAATAGCGTGAAGTTTATGAGTTAACTTACTGTGAGGCATTCTGTCAAAGGCTTTCGATAAATCAATAAAAATGGCATCCGTTTGACCTCTATTGTTAATCACTTCTGCGAAATCATGCACTATCTCACTCAGTTGCGAAACCGTAGAAACACCAGCTCTAAACCCATGTTGATTACAAAAAAAAAAAAAAAAAAAGAGTTATTCTCTTCCATGTAAGTCCTGGTGTGTTTACTTATTATCTGTTCCAATAGTTTACAGCATGTTGAGGTAAGCGAAATAGGTCGATAGTTATACAAAAATGGCTTGTTTTCCGTTTTAGGTATTGGAATGACCTTGGCACGTAGCCAGTCTGTTGGCACTTTACATTGCAGAAGAGATACACTATATATAATGACTAAATATTTTGCAATCCATTCTGCATATCTTTTTAGGAAGCAGTTACTTATCTTATCCGGCCCTGGTGCTTTTTTAGTATCAAGATTTAATAGGAGGAAGAGAATACCTTGTTCATTCACACTAAGTTGGGACATATCTGATTCGACATTGGAAGTTATTTCTTGAGAGGGTACCGTATTTGTTTCTACGGTGAAATTCGACTGAAAATATGCATTAAAAGCATTTGCTATGTCAACTTCATCCGTAAATGTAACGTCCCCGCAAGTTATCTGCATTATTGACTCTTTTTCCGGCGACAAATGACGCCAGAACTTTTGCGGTTCATTTTTTATAAAACCGGGAAGTGTTTCAGAATAATACTTTTCTCTTGCTTCTTTTAACTTCGTCTTTAAGTGTTCCGCTAGCTCAACCACTTCAGTGCTTTTTCTTGTTTTTTTGCGTTTACGTTTTAGTTTACGTTTGATGTGAATAATATCTCGAGTTATCCACGGGTTTCGCTTTTTTTTTGTTTTTAGTCCTCGTTGGTATAAAGTTGTCCTCGCAGTACGCTATTATTGTCTTGAAACTGTTCCACAACTCATTGATGTTCCTCTGTTTCGCGAATTCATCCAGTGACCTCTCGAGATAGTCTATAACTGACTGATCCTCACTATGCAAATAATCCTTAAAAACAACCTTATTAACATCACGTTTTTTTTAAATTAGGGTAGCAAGCAAGACAGAAAAACCAACTTATGATCCGAGATTCCTTAATGAATGGATACACTGTATTTAAGATCAGTGGTGTTAAGGAATATCAGGTCGAGTATTGATCCTCCCTTGTCGCTTATTCTAGTGTTTTCTGTCACAACCTGTTCTATGCCGGCGCTAAATGCGGTACTGAGAAGAAGTTTGACGTGTTGGTCATGACTATTGCTTAACGTCTGCTCACTCCAATTTATACTTGGTAAGTTAAAGTCACCTGCAATAATTAATTTCGTGCGGTTATTTTCGTGTTTTAATATGAAATCATGCATTGCTTCTAGATGAGTTCGTGTTTACAAACAAGCCCGCGTTTGCCCACACCAGGTGTGGGCACTGCGCGTGCGCAGAAACCGAATTCGCGTGGAGTGAAGCGTCTGCGCATGCGCAGTGCCGTCAACAGCGCCACCGCAGCTGCGTGACGTCAGGGCCGCGTGTTGGTCTAACACGCGGCCCTGAGGTTTAACACGATTGAGTAAAACTTTCGCTTTCATGCCCGCACCAACTCTCTACTGGAAAGCGATCATGCACATATTTTCTCTTACTACTTCTGCCTTGCTTTAAGAGTCCTCAGTTTGCAGTTTCATATTTTGGAAGCCCACGAGTCTTGCCTTCAGCCGTTTGCTATCATAAAGCCATCATGTACAAACATTCGCAGTTCCGCCCTGATAAGGTGTGGTCACATCGCATGCACTATGCGTGCGCCACTTGTCGTAAACAATGGCACCGCGGTCTGCCGTGTAGCGTCAAAGACGCACGTCTGTGTAGAGATAAAATGAATTTGAACCACAGAACCAATCCAACTCGAAACCTTAAATAGAAAAGTTCGTGATATTTATGGCGCAATTCATTTCATAGCTGATCATTGACGGAGAGGGCTTTGACGAATACAGAAAATATATTCTGCAATGGCTCACTTCGTGTTTTCTTGTGTGCTCGAGGTTATGGCGATGCTCTGTGGTTTGCGAGGAGAGAAAAGAAATACTCACAACGAATCAGCAGTGTACATGCGCATGGCCTCCTTGATGGAAGCTTCGAGGTAAGTCATAGCCTGCAGCGTATCGTACGTTATTCCGTCCTAAACGGAGGGTAGGTGAATGTTAGTTTAAGGTACACCGAGACTCGAAGTTCGAATAAAAAAAAATCTTGCTATTAACTTAGAAAGTTCATGTGGAAGCCTACTGCGTGGTGCACGTTAAAGACCCCAGGATAGCGGTTGTACCGCACTGGCTAAATTGCTCATCTACAGCTGATACACCAGGCGCCCATTGAGGCAGACTAACTTCCGGCTGTATAAACATACACACAACAATTTGTTTGCTACATGGAAGTTTGACATGGAGAAACCCAAAGCCTGGTTGTGAAATCATGAGTGAAATGAATAGTTGTAATCTATTAAAGTATAAAGAACTATTGAGAATCGAGCTCAGTTTAATTCGGCTGTATAACAGTGATTTTTACTTGTAATATTTTTAAAGTATGTACATTTTGATTCGTTATGTCATAGTGGCAGACAGAACTACCCTATGAGGAAAGCCAGGAAGTCTTACAAGTTCAAGCGAAATAAGGTTTAAGCTAACAAGTTAGTGACCGTCAGTTTCTCGCGCATAGACTATCTGGACTAATGGTGGGATGAAACATGCTAGGTTGATTTTGCACACTTCTTTATTTCAAAACTTTTTGCAATATTATCTTAGCAGTGTTAGCGGCTCAATTGATTTTGCCAGGCCCTCTGCCTTTAATGGATCTAGGCCTTGCACAATTTGTGTGAAAGCATAACAATAAGAGAAATTTCGAGTGAATGCTTCTTCAAACCATTTGCAGGGCTGACTAAAACACGTGCGCAGGCGGCAGTCCAACTCCGTCTTGTTTTCGACTGCGTTGAGTTACGACGCCAAGAATCCAGGGGTGAGCAAGTGTGAAAGCAGTTTCGTTTAGTCTTCTTTTATAACTTTGGACATTACAAATACGTATGCGTTCTTCTTTGCATCTACAAAATATAATCTCGAAAAAATTAAATTATTGTGGCACTTAATCGTTGATAATACAATAGGCTTCGCAGGTAATTTCGAGATACAATGTAGCAACTCGTTTTGGATAATGCCTGTCCAATGTGTACTGATTTAACAGCACTGCGGTCCGAAGGCGAGTCGCGGGGTTGAGTTCATTACGAAACCTTCAACCAGTATATTTTAGACATTTCCTGTCATTCCTACCTTTTGAACCGCATCATCGACTTCTTTCAGTACCCTCTCCTGGCATTCTGGGTTCAGGGCCAGGAGGTATGCCGAAAGCGTCATGGCGGACGATACTGTGTCCGTACCGGCACCAAAAAAGAGCATTGCCTGGGCCGTGATGTCATCTAGCGTCATGGCTGAAAGAATTTGGAAATGTCAAAAGGGTGGAAGGGAATACGATGCAGAGAGCCGGCATCACAATGTCGACAGTCTGAACGTCATCGTAGATTACGTTTTTATAACAGCCTATGGTTGAATCAGTCACAGGCCCTACCTAGGGTGGGCTGGATATGTGCTTCGTGTGGAAAAATAATAAAGTGAATTATTTAGAACAGGCGCAGTGTTAAAAGAATAACGATGATTGCATTAATAATCTTATTCATTTATTTATTCACTGACAGGTCAAAATCATATATTTTTATTTAAGTCATGACAGCTTTAATAAGTCAAATGGCACCATTGTTCTAAATTTGATAGACAATGCAGGAATTAATATTTGGGAGAAACGCAGCCCTGCTGTCCGCTTTAATTTGGTTTCCTCCGCGAGTGTGTTGTAATTTGCTGTTCCAATTCGTTATGCAGTTAAATACTAAACAAGAAAAACTGCGTTATTATAACCTGGCTTCATCGTTCGCGTGGAAAATAACGTTTTAGAAAACGACTCTGTTGCTAAATTCAGTATACATAATTAGGATGCACCATGTTTACTGAAAATATAAGAGAAAATATTCTTGCGGAACTTTCCATTGGCAGGAAAAGCGCGGTAACTGCGGCTGCGTAAGATATAAGCCTGATGAGCAGTCCACGTAAAGTGTGATGCATTTCTTATATTACTCTGACACACGTTGAAGGTAGCTTTCTTATTTTATACTCACGCTTTCCACAAGAGTAGTCATCGTTTGCATGTACGTTCTTGTCGCCAGGGCCATTTTCACATCCGGCATCGATAAATAACTGCAGAATGTCGTCGTCTTTCTGAATAATTTGGAACCAGAAAAATCTATTATGACTGACTGACTGTAGATTATGCAAAATATCTCCAATAATACCATTAAGAAAAGAAAAAAACGCCAAGAAACAAATTGGTATGAAGAATCTATAACAGATAAAATCAGTCGGTTTACGACACACACTGTTTTTATAGCTCTTATACCCTGTTCACACGAGCATAAAGGTTCCTTTGCCTAAGGGACCTTTATGGCCAGCGGCGAATCAGTTCGCGATCCTCCGCACTTGGCATGTGCTCGCGATCCATCAGCGCGGGCTGATTCGCCGATTGCAAAGGGACATATGTTAAAGGTACCTTTATGCTGATCGTGTGAGTCAAACTGTTTGTGGCAGCGCTGCCACCGAAAGCAGGCAAAGCGGTTTTTCCGCTAAACAAAAGGCGTAAAGTCTATATACTCCATTCATCATTAAGCTGAGAATGCAGCCAACACTACAAGCACGAGAGCTCGAGGTCACTGCTTTGAAGCCTTTTTCCACAAAACGAGCACTCGCGCTGGAAATGCACGTCTCAAAGCCAGGAAGCGCGGGCTAGCTCGCATTTGTAGATCTACAGGGCGATTCTCCGAAATCAAATCATTACCGTTCAAAGAAAGTTTGCGCAGAATTATGTTCTAGAAGGATCCAGAAGACACGTTTACGACTACTGGGAGTGCTACTCAAAAGGTTGGTTTGGAAGGCTTACGTCTGATAATGCGTAGAAACACGACAGAGTCTTATCATCTCGGGGACATCTCTGAAATATCTATTGACGTCACTACTTAAAGGGTGGTAAGAGCCGATTTGATCTAGGTATATCTCGCAAAGTATTTTTTTTTTTTGAGGAATCCAAATTTTTTTTTTCTGAAGTTCGGTTAATATTTATTTAAGGAGCACGTGAAACGAATTAATAAAAATAGAAGTTAACGGCGTACTTTTTTAAATAAAAAAATTTGGCTTCTACGTTGTAGAAGCCAAAATTTTCGGCAAAGGATCTTAACGGAAATCTACGTACGGGTAGAAGAGACAACCAGTTATTCTTAGCTTAGATCACAACATAATTCCTCTCCACAGAAAGGTCGTATGCAGACCAAGCTCACGCGGTCACTCCGATAAGTTCTCACGAGCGAGGTACATGGTGCTCGGCGGCGCTTTATGAAAAATGGCGTTTATAGAACAGCGCGTTTACATTACATTTTACGTTTGTTTCTGCAAAAGTTTAACAGACACTCGTTCCAACACGGTGTAGGCTTCTGTGAGACTTGCCCAAACGAAGGCAAAAAGCGTAATGATAATTATAAGCTGCTCCCTCATGCTTCATTAATCGTCGCCGATCATTTTCTACTCTGCTCACGGAAACCAGGTGCATTGCAAAGACCAAGTTAGACGAACCCTTTTTTCGATACAGAGGAATTATGCCGTAATAATATTGCAGAATTATCATGGGTCTGATTTTAGCCTTACGGAACCGTATGAATGTAGTCCTTTAGCCCTTGGGTCTAACCCTGTGGTTATCTCAGAAGATAGTTTTTTAACTGATACAGTGCACTCAGTTACCCTACATGGTTAAACGCGTGATTTTAAATCAGATGCGGTTAAGTAATTATGTTAAATCCAACCAGAGTTAGGTAATACGGGACAAAGAAATGAATAAAGTCTTGAAATCTACGAATATGTACGAAGGTTGTTTCACCAACGAGTGAGAATATATATTTATATATATAACGGGGTTCTATAAACTTATGTTTTTAGAGACATTTGAAATAAAACGTAACTTCGAAATAACGTTGTCAATTACTGCGGACATTGGTGCGCGCATAAAAAGTGATAATTAGGCATCTTATTGGCAAAAAGTAACAAACTAACCTTTCAAGCACTCAGCTTATCTGGCACATTTAAGTAATTATTTCTTGTCCGTCGTCCGAATACGCCAACATCGCTGTTAGACGCGAGAACGTTAAACGTATTTCCGCTCTACTATTTGATGGCGAATTTCAGCTGTCTAGAGTCCGCCATGCCGAAACTAAAAAAAAAAAAAAAAAAAAAAAAAAAAACATTGAAAAATTTGCGCACGAGGAAAAACATGGCGCTCCTTTTTTTTTTTTTTTTTTACGCTCACCTATCTCCCAGATTCCATTTCCTCAGTGTTTTGATTTACCCAAAAAAATAGCGCGGAGTAGAATTTAGTTGCCTGAATTATAATAGCTATGACATATTTTGACGATAGGAAACGCATCTCTAGTCGAAATATGTCAGCTGGGCGAGTATTTCGACAGTTTATTGGCGGATCTAGGTGAATATTTAGCTATTTACTACTTAGGTATTTAAATTCGCTGGCGAAACGCTTCCATAAGTTCCGCACAAGCATGTGCAAAAAATAGAAATAGTTACGCATGATCCTTTCTTTCTAGTTAATATAGGATCACAAAATCTCAGACAATCCGAGGATTCTGTTACTATTTCGCCCCATTACGCTTCCGTCGTTGGATTTACTATAAATCTAAGAAATAAGACTGACACAAAGTACATACGTTGTCTCTCTTTTGCCTTTCCTGTATGATGTGGGACACAAAATGTTTGAGCGGCTCAGTATTTTCTTTTGTCAAAAACTGTGGCTGACAAAGCTTGTAGATTCTTGGCATAGTGACTGTAAAGGTACAAATAAGATTACCTCTGTTAGAATAGGCGACAACACCTGTTGCAACAATTTTGTTCACGTCTGTTGTGGATGACGCGCCCTTGTTCGCAAACAGGTAGGTGTTTCATACTCTTAACCATCGCATGAGATCTCAGATTTTGGCATAACCTAACAAGCGATCGTTTTCACGCCGAATTAGTTACGAAATTAAGGTTTAGAAACTTTCTTGTTTCCTCGTGAGAAGTCTTTTTTACTGTCCATCCCTTAAAAAAAGAATAATAAACAGGGCGGTAATAGAACAGTGTCACAAGACTTACACTTACCCTAAAGTGAAGGGATAATGACGTCGGACATTTTTCCCCCTCAAATCCTTGGGTGGTTTGTGCATGAAATATTTCATTTAGAAAAATATCAATATAATTAGCATACATAACAGCGTTAAGCTGTAACGTAACTTTGCTTCGGTCGGTCTAGGCATAAAATCGCGCTAATACACGAAGGGATGAACTCTCAGATCGACTCACTTGGGCTTGCTGCCCTTTCGGTGTATTGTCAATTTTCGTCCCTCTCAATTCATCGTCTTGTGTTATGTTGACTAGAAATCACCCGAGAAGCTCACAGCGTCTCCGGCACACAACCAAGTTTCGCTGAGCAACGCAACTTCTTCACTCACGAACACTCGTGTACTTGAATGTCGTCTGTCACTCAGGCTTCACATAAGGGTTACTTTCAGGTTACTCCCATCAACGTAATACTCTCGCGCTTCGTTTGGGCCACTCCATGGCTACATTTCGTGCCTGCAGTTTTAAGGAAGGAAGCGTGTTACGTCATTTATGAATAAGGCCCTATTAATTTTGCTTAACATTATCTCAATTGATTGGATCTGCTGAAACAGGCATTAGAATTGCACCAACTGTTACTCATGTTGGTTTCCGTCAATAGACCGTAACGTAGGTTCAGAGCCGAGTTAACGCTGAAACATGAAGGACTCCGCCTAGAACAAATGTTTTCAACAACGCCGTAAACATTGAAGCGAACCTTCTATTGCGAATCTATCGTAATTTTCTAGAAAAATTAGAAAGACGTGAGCACCGGCATGGTGTTTATTCCGACAGCCTTATTTCCTTGGTTTCACCAGCTTTATTTACTCTAGCTTTATAATTGCCGTATTTATTCGAGTAATAGACACATTGTCTATGCACAAGTGCAGTGTGTCTGCTTTTTCGCAAAGCACGTATACAACCAATAATCGCGCTCTACGTAAAAAACAACAACAAAAAAACAACACAATAACAAAGTTGTTAAAACGACTTTCCGCAAAAATGTGATTTTCGCAGATAGCATTTTTGCATGAAGGATAACTGTTATCCCTGTCCCATTAAGTTGCTGAGCTGTTCCCTACAAGCGCGAGGACTGGTTGTCCGCGTGGTTCGCTGGAAAGTGGAGGCGCAGGGGCTGTCAATAAACAGAGCGTGTACTACCCAAGAAACTACACCTGCGGAGCGCAAGTTCGCCTTCTTGCGCCGGGGGGTTGCGGTGACATCAGAACGCCGCCAAGCTCTGATTGGCTTCTATTTGATGGATAGGGGGTAAGACCTCAAGGCAGCTACATAGCATCGAGGTCAACCCACTACTCTTCCAAACGGAGCCAATCGGAGCTCGGCGTCGTTCTGACGTCACCGCAAACCCTGCCTCAAGAAGCGGACAAACTTGCGCTGCGCATAGTCACTCACAGCTTCAGAAACTCGGGGCGTGGCGAGTCACGCGCATCTCATTATCGCTCTGCAGCCAATCAGATTTCCGCATTAGCCAATAAAGACGCCGAAGAACCAATCGCGAAGCATGCACACGACAAGCCACGCCCCGCGCTTCTTCATTCGTCGGGGACTATATCGCCGCCCGTTTTTATAAATTTTCTGCAAAAAGAAAAGAAAAAAGAAACAGACTGAAAGATGAAACGTACACATCATCATCATCTGCCAACTCTTGATCCTAGAGAACAGCTTTTCGAAACATATCATCATTGGATGGCTCGGCTCGTTGCGACTGTCCAGGTCAATACTGTACACCAAGGCAGCCATCGTGTCCACGGCCCAGTCTCCGAATACCCTGAGGGATTCGTGTGCAACACAAAAAAGAGCGTAAGCAATGGGTCAGTTCGTTGTTTTCTCTATTAGTTCTAGATGCTGTGTGAAGCTGTAAGCATATTCACTTTGTTTTATTTACTACTTCACCCGCCGGCCCAAGTACATCGGCCAGGGAAACTGCAACCACGGTGGGGAGCAACCAAAAGCACGCTACCACGCAGAATTACTGGTAAATCGAACTGGGACCGCACACTCGCAGTATTAACCAGGCGAAAACGAAGAAATAACCTCTGAGGGATGTTTAGTAAAACAACATTAAAACAATATGTCGGGTTAATCGTGGAAGTTCGTAGAATGTAAATGGTACGGATTCAATTTCTTTTAACAGTTGTCCTCGGTGAAGGGTCAACATGTATACGCAGAAAGTAAAAATGGCGAGGGAGTCGATATGTACAAGCTATTTGGGAAGTTTATTCCAATCCGCAACAGTGCGTCGGAATTAGTTGTACTTGAAAACGTACTTGTGGCAGAGATACTCGCACATTGCTTTATTGTGTTCGTTTCTAGTTGGTTGGTTAGTGTCAGGTGTGACACACCTAGCGCTGATAGGAATTTTGCTCCTGCCTCGGGTTAACTTGGTGCAATAACTTTAGTCTTGATTATCCTTCGCGTGGCCAAGTGCGGCAGACTAGATAACCGATAAAGCTCTGTTATAGAAGACATTTAGTGTCGGTTATAAACAAATTACACCGCCATGTTTTCGACATTTTCTAATGAGTTAATGCATGTTTGGGACTATATGAATCCCATACTGTGTCTGCATACTCCAAGATGGGACAAATTAGATTTTGTAGGCTCCTGAATTATTCACTGGGGTGCAGTAACGCATGTTCCTGTGGCGAAACCCCCCACAAATTTTTTTAATTACTTCAATATTATGTGAGGTTTTGTAGTTTCCATAAAATATATTCGAAGCAGTGGAACCCATGAGTGAATAATAAATGTTTTTTTTAAGTTTACTTAATTGAAAAGCAAGACGGCAATAATGATTTTTCACAATACGTCATTTGATTTTATTAGATTCAAGTGTTTTTATCTGTATGACATTTTCAAGAAAACAAGAAATGTTGAGTAATGCGGCAGTACCTATTCTTTACATCCACTTGGTTGGCTCTATTATATATAAAATACAAGACCACCTTTGACTGTACCAAAAGGTAGGTGATACAAACATAAAAAAAAACATATATTTGCTCATTTTGTTGTTAACAGAATACGTCACTTTGACGCAACTAGAGATATTCATTCTTTCGTTTCATACCCAGCATGATTTTGGTGTTAATTTTTATGACTCCCGGAGATCATTACTTCTTCCAATGCTTGGAAATTCGTGCTGGGCGCTTTCATCCATAGGCTGTTATCCTGCCCGTGCTTTCTGTTTTACAGTGTATTAGTACTTACATGTTTATTTTGTAACCTTAACAGAAAACTAGACCAGCAGGACTTTCTGTTGTCTATTTTATGGTTCTGGTTTCACGTTTTAGGATTGAATGAGTTAGTAGCTATTCCTAATTATTAATTACCTTAATCACAAACAGAAACTAGTGTGTAATTTCTATTTGTATTTGTAACATTCCTTGTGCGTTCTTTTTAAAGTTTAGTTCCCAGCTTCCGCAATTAACTTGTTTTGCTATTTAGTAAGTTTCGCAACCAAGAAGTCTCTTAAATAGCTGTATTGGAAAGATTTATGACCCTCGATACTACATTGTCTATACAAACGACCTTTGTGAGAAAATAAACTGGTAGATTTCGCTCTACCCATCTATGCCACACCTTGTTTTGGATAATAATATATACGACAAATTCAAGGGGACGTAAAAATATTTATATAATTGTTAGCATCGCAGTGTCCTTACTCGTTTATTGCAACTGGTTTTTTATCCTTCGCATATTCAGCCAGGCGGGTCGTCATTCTCTCTGATATCTTGTGAATTTTCACAACGGCCTGAAAAAGTGAGTTAACCACTAGTAATTTGACTGATAAAACTTTCTTTCTTAAATTTTATGTTTGATATAGTTGTAACAAATCCTTAGATCCAAGGTGTCCCTAGTACGTCATTCGCTTACTCAGTCACATTATTTTCTGAAGTTGCAGTCTCAATCTAGATCTCTCAATTTCTTTCAGAAATCTACGCTCTTATGGTTGCATTCAGCAGTTGAAATTTTCAATTCATAATTCAATATATATTGAACACAAACCTGACACGTGCAGGCAGAATCCAGCTTCGAAGCTTTGTTGGGGTAATAGCGAAAGCCGAAAATACACGATTGAAAGGAGCAGTGAAGTGCTAACGTATTACGCTTAATTTATGCGGTGAAACTCTCCCATTTCTGACAGTTCTATACCATTTGAATTATACCCTTACCTTCCTGAGTTGATTTGCTGTAAATGCGGGGGAAAGAATACCTCTGGCGTGTTTCCATTCTTCTCCAGAAAGGTTGAGGATTGATTTCTTCCAGATATCAGTTCCAATCGTTTGTGCCTCCTGGAGACACGTAATTAATATCGGCTGATTAGTTATCTCTAAATCTCTAAACTATTACGCCATCTGTCCTATGTCATTCACTTAGAACCCTGATTGTTTACAAAAGTAACCTTACCGCTCTTTGCAAATTTCCCGTGCTCGTCTGCGCAGCTTAAACTGCGCACATGAGCACATGAGCGATAGAAATTAAACAGCGTTTGCGACTGAACTTTTTATACGACAGGGCTATAGTGAGTTAAGAGTACCCAGCGTGATTAACATTCAGGTTATGTAGGTTAACGAAAATAAAAGAACTTGAAGTTTTAAAGAGGTTCGCTTATAGAAAAAAAAAATACAGAGTTGAATGAAGACAAGGAATAAAAAAAAAACAAAAAAACAAAACAAAAAACAAACACGGCGGCTCTTCAACATATTGAGCTAAAATGCATTTGACCAATCGTCTATATTAAGAACTCCCAAGCTTCTGATTTACATATTTCCCACACTATGCTGACACAATGATTGTTTCCATGATAATCTGTTTTCCTGGTAAATAAATGTAAAGGAGGAATTGCTTTATATGCCTTATTTATGAACATCGCGAGCCGATGCGCAAAACGGCCAGGGTGTACGCTAGCGGCATCGCATGACTGTCCAAGAAAGTAACCCGTGTGCCGTTAATTTTGGCGGCCAATGTTTTGGAATGTAAGAAAAGCAAACTCTCGAAGCATAAAAAAAGGTTCATGAACACATGGAGACTTACCGTCCTGTCGGAAAACGACTTGAAGTTCTTCACAAAAACGTCTGCGAGAATATCAGGGTCTCCGACAACCAAGGTGGGCACAATGCCTTGATACGATCTGCAATTCTCGGGATACGGTAAATATCTGCAACTTTCTTAAGTGTTTTTTTTTTTCGATTCGCAAGGGGCAGGTGACTATTTAAATCTGCTTGAACGCTTCTTTTTCTTGGAAAGAATGCATATTTGTTGATTCGTATTATGTGATACTCCTGTCAAGAATGAATGCGGAACTGATAACATGCGCGAAAGAGGATTGAGTAGCAATTGAAAGTGCAATAAATAATAAATATTGAAGACAAAACTGGCGGTTATAAATATCTCAGTTTTTATAAACATGCGTGTTCAATACAGTTGAAAGCTCGTATGCTCTGACAATTCAAATACCTTTTAGAAAGGTAATTGAATTGTCATTGAATTGTGGGAAAGGTAAAGGTAACATACGCGCTTACTATTGCCCGACTGTCTTTAACATTCCAACTTATCTGTCATTATACTGACAAAGTATAAGCTGATAAATATGGAACGAAATATTGTCTGTGCTAAAAATATACATCCCTTCCGAGAATCGCCATACTTTATTTTTAATCTTGCCTCCCATTCACGTTATTATTTAATTAGTTTAGCTCCATATTATTTCCAGCTCGTTTTTATCTTCACATGGCCTGCGGTCATTCTAATGATTTGTTTTTAATCAATTGTTTCAAACAATAATTAGAATGCGATAGCATTCTTTACTACCCCCCCCCCCCCCCCCCCGATTTTGTGGTCCTTTCTGGCCTCCTAATGCGCAGTTGGTTTCCCCACTAAATTTAGCGAAAAAACTCACGTCACGTGACCTATGTACCAATTCAGTCTCCCCGCTAAATTTGGCGGAAAAAAAGTCACGTGCCCTGACGTCACGGGACGTAATGACAAATTCAGTTTGCCCGCTAAATTTAGCGGGAAAATCGACGACACATCACCTATGCACCAATTCAGTTTCCCCGCTAAATTTAGCGGGAAATTTGACGTCACGTTACCGATGCACCAATTCAGTTACTCCGCTAAATTTGGCGGGAAAATTGATGTCGCGTGACTTGACGTCACGGGACCTACCGAAAAATTTAGGTTTCCCACTAAATTTAGCGGCAAATTTACGTCGTATGACCTACGCACCAATTCAGTTTCCTCTCTGAATTGGGCGGGAAAATTGATGTCACGTGAAGTGACGTCACGGGACCTACAGACAAATTCAGGTTACCCCCTAAATTTAGCGGGAAAAAGGACGTCACGTCACATATGCACCAAAAAAAAAAAGGAAGCAAACATGACGAATGCTATCGCAATTCCAACAACCAACAATAGTGGTTTCTGCAGCCATTGTTTTTCCTTGAAACTTCTCCCGATTTGTATGTGGTATGCCTGCAGGTATGGACTTTGACAGGGCTTTGTGAACTTCATGTTAGACAATCGTCTTCGCGTTGTTTCACCAAGATCACGAGAAATACTGCGGTGCGGCCATCACTATTTCACCCAAAAGCCACGACCGGCCGTCTTGAGAGAAACCCGATCAAACTAAAATTTGGAAGGAAACTAGCTCTAGAGACACCGCATAAGCTTTTGTTTGTGACTAATAATACAAAGATAATCTTCCGCAAAGGAACACGTGCATCTTGCAATTCGGGACGCATAGCAAAGTTCCGACTTACCCATAAAGCCGTCCATAGCGTTCGTAGTTCTTACGTATGACCTCGTGCAGCGGCTGAAAAAAATCTTGTGTGAAGCGAATCTTTAACCCCCATGGAAGCAGCCAAGTAAACATTTATAGACGGCAGTAACAGTATATAGTAAGGATAATAATTTTGTCGTAAAATAAAGCAGTGCACTCGAGGGTCGTTACCTTTGTGTACATGTCGTAGACGACGCGCAAGTACTGCCACAGTGTTAGGTATGGGACGCCTTTGTCACTCCAGAAAGTAAATATTTGTTGCAGCTTCCTGAAAAAGGAAGATGCTTTCAAATCCGTAGCCATACAAGTGTTTGCTTCTGTCTAGAGAGCGACGTAAAACAAAGTCGTAATTGAACGCTTCAAACTTGCGTTATGGAACCTGTTTTTACGGCGCGTTTTTGCTACAAATTAATATTTACGTGACTGTAGATCCGTGCGCATTTTCGTATTATAGTTGTATTCAGGCTAGAATATTCGTTTAGGATATTGAAGTTTGTCTCATAATGAGACTGTCAGCGTCACAACGACTAACTGGGCACGCCTGAAAGTAGCTCATACGGTCATTTCACATAAGGACATTTATTGCTGTGAATATTTTTGTTTTCAGTCGAATTGTATCTTGGGCATACTTCAGTTTTACTTGTTGCAGCCAAGGCGATGTGTTTGCCAATCAAGCATTGCACCATTTCCTCGTGTGAGACTCTAAACTATATGAGGCCTAGTCTCATTGTCCTGGCGTCTGAAGGGAGCAGAGGATTGATGATAATTTATTACTTGGCATGGTCTTTTTTAGTACTGTGCAAATTCGGTTGTCTCTAGATCCGTATCTATAAGGGGTGCATTAAAAATATAAATTATTTTATATATTTCAGACTAGTCCGTAATCAGCCATATTCGAGCATAAGAAAAATTTGAAAAGACAATTTATACCCACATTGTGAGAATCGCGAGATAGAGCGTGACCTCAGCCAGGGACTTGGATTTGTCAGTGGCAGTTTACCCAACTTTACCAGCAAGGAGTTTGCCTCCTCGGTAGGGTTTCAAAAGAACCATGCATGGCGACTTACCATACAAAAAATCCAACCAGCGCGAGAAACGCCACAACCACAACCGTCATGGCGTTCATTCTTCCATTCCAGGAAATAAACTGAGGGTCCAGTCCCTCCTTGGCTGCCAGACATAGAATCAATAAAGTGCAATCTGGAAGAACGTGCGCGCCCACGATTGCGATATGACCCGCATCACGTGGACACTGAGTCCAGGCTATGCGCGCTTGATAAGGTTCAATAAGAGCCTTGTAACCTTCACTCGACTTAGACCGGACGCATGGCCACAACTTTGGTGACAGACAGCAGCTAACGGGAACGCGTTTATTGCTTTCAAGCGTTAGGAAAGTCCGTACGGGAAACTTGTCCGTGTGTGCTTCTTATTATGATTCTCATATAGTAAACAGTTCAAAATAAAATAAAAAAAAGCTCTTTTGGAATTTTTAATGCACGAGAACGCGTAGTCTGAATTTTATAATCATAATTTTTGTTTACAAGAGTGATACGTTGTACAGAAAGAGCAAAAGAATCAAGACACCCACGAAATCTCATCACTATCGCTTTAAAGTTTATGACATGGATTCATATAATCCTAAACGTTTTTGTTTTTTAAACAGGGCACTGGCTTCAAGAGTATATTTTTTGTTCATAAAATACTCCGGTTCCCCATCCAGTAATGTGGTCATGTTTAAGATCGTTCGCGCCATCACAAACTCGTGCTCCTCCCGCTATCGCACCTTCCACACCTTCGTCCAGATATCCAATGCGCAGTGTACAGAGCTTTGTCTTCTCTATAGATTTACTCTTTAGGTCCTTGTTGCTCGTCTTTTCTTATAGAAATAGAAAACGGTTTTATAACTTAGCGTTTACCCTTCAATAAAACAGAGATAGCATTACCCTCCGCAGTCGAGGAACATACGCTGCACAAAAAAAGACGAAACAAAATAGAATGCCGCCAGGCTCCCGACGTGAAGGGTCCCTTCGCCGTGATAACGTGTCTTTATTGCTGGTGTTGGTAGCCTTCCAGGCGACGAGCAGCGTGGGCACGGAGACTGGATTGACAACAGCATTTTTGCAAAACGGTTTTTTGACGTCTCCAATTGCAGTGAAACAGCGGTCAAAGCAGTCGGAGACAACTTTTGCAAATCCGTGTATTTTGTTCGGTGTATACAAATGGTATGAATGCCTTATTAGGTTCTGGACGGGATGATATGACGGAGCCACGATTTTTAACCCGTAAGTATTCGTTGTAAGAAAGTATACTAAGATGACCCGAAATCCCATGAGTGTTTTTATTTTTTTATTCACAGTTAACCGACACGCTTTTTTTTCACCAGGGAATGCGTAAATTCTGTTTTTTTTTGGGGAAAGACGGAATGTCAGGGAATTTAAGGCGGGGGCATAGTTACCCCTGGAAACAATGCAAACGAAAACAGTGTTGCCGTGCAAGATATGAAGAAACTATAAATCGCTCATTTTTAATTTAAAAAAATGGACACAGCGCACAACAAACGAAAACGAAGTAGAAGTACGCCCTTCTAATTTGTCTTCGTTTTTGGTGCGCTATGTCGATATTACTTAATATGAAACAACTACCCGCATCGCAACCCTAATTCATTTTACTTTTGGAAACGTTACAATAAATAAATAAATATTAAAGTGAAAGTATTGAGCAGGGTTTTTAAAGGTCGAATAGGATATATCCAACATCACAACTCCTCAGGCAAATTTTTTTTCTGTATAATGATTTCACCATATTGGCACCACTCCAACGTTTGACCCAAACTTGCCTAGTTTCTCAAAGTTGGGAGTACTATTTTCGGTTAAATCAGAACTTAAGTTTCTACAAATATTAAACTTTATAACGAATCAATACTAGTATCTGATTGTAGGGACATTGTATTAACGTCACTATACTATGATACTGATCCTGGGTTGAAAGGCCACCTAAAATCAATCAATATATCAGTAAATCAAGCTTTTACGAACCGGAAAAAGGTGACGAAGTATTGGTGTGCGCGCCAGTGGCTATGAAGGCTAGGCGGCCTACAGATTTCTTTATCGCGACGCTGTCGTTTTATGAATTTTTCTACTAAGAGAACAACCCTTAAGATAAAAGGACGAGTACAGATGTGTTCGGGGAATCTGAGCCTATGTCGCTCGTACACCCCAGGACCCAAGAGGGAACTTGGCAACGCAATATCATTTCATCGGGGCGGGTCCTAGATAAAGAGAGATGCTGGCCGCTTTTGTGTCGTGGACGATTTTATTCTAATTTGTGTAGCTTTGCGAGGAAGCACGTATTGCTAGTTTGTATTTTGCATCTACTGACGCTCTGGGTTCGATTTAACACGTATTTGTACGTTCCTCATGCTTCAAGTCGCGGTGCTTTTACTTGCCCTTTTCGGATGTTTCATAACAAGGTAAGGCTGGCTTTCTCTACACACACTGAAAAGATAACTAATGTTCAAATTATCTGTACATTTTCAACAATGACTTTGGCTGTGTAATAATTATGCTATTCAGACGATAATTAAACTTGTCTCGCTCATTCTGATAAACCCGGTTTTGCGCAGAATGGTGTCGGGCAAACATGATGCGTGCGTTATGATTTGCTATGCTTGGTTGCAGAATGCTTTGGGTGATTTCGGAAACGTTCTATGGACTACAGACACATGCACTTCCCAGGTTTATCAGAACGATCAAGACAAGATTAAATGTATTGAAGAGCCGTAACGTCGTGAGATCACGTGGGTAGCTACGATCTGTCATTCGAGATCCAGCTGGGCGCTCCGACTCTTGCTTAGAAGCGCAGGCTCGTTTGAGTTAGGCTTGATCGAGCTGCATGCGCTCCTGTTCGCATCCCGAAGTTTACACGTCTACGGTTTTTTGATGTGATAAGTACACATATAAGCTTATTTTATGCTCATATACTTATTTTTGTGGAAATGATGACTTTACCACAAAAGAGTTTGCTTAACGTTTTTGCGATACCCACAATACATGGTGGAAACCGTTCATTTACATATTCTAGAAATAATAGAGAGCGCAGTGAAACCATTCTTATATTATTAACGGTATTCTAAAGAAACGTTATCACATATTGCAATTCTTTTAGTGATAATTAAAAATATGTCAAAATACGTAGTTATTGACAATTATATACTATCATATTACGCACTATTGAGAACTCTAAGTGTTCTTATATCTATGGCTTATGGCGTAGTAAACGTACAAAATACTATTCGGCTACAAGTTCTAGATCTCAAACTACAGTGAGCAAAGCTTTGTGTTACGACACAACGCAATTACAGAAAACAGGAAATAAATAAATTTAAAACATGCTTATAAACACCCTGGACAGATGCTTTTATATTGATGTACGAAATCAATACGCAATTTATGCATGTCGTAATGATAAAATATAGTTTTCAAAGTATACATAATGATTTAAAAATCTTTTGTTGTTTGATTCTCGCGTTTGCAGACCAGTATCCGCCCAACAGTTAAAGAAACAGACATGAAGTGGATGTGCTCCTAGTTGAAAGTGACTATTTTTAGCTTATGGAATTTGTAGATAAAGATTTTAGGTCACCCGTTTCTTCTATCAGAATTTGCGAACCTCTGCGCTGAGACTTATGCATTTGTTTGTGCAGCGAAGTACTCACGACATAAACGAATCGACATGTGAAGCCTGTTTACTTAATTGCAGATGGACAATCAGAACATTTACCTATTGGAATGACAAAGGAGTTCCACATTTGTCGTTCATGGAATATATGAGAACTGCGTACGATATCTTTACAAAGGTAGGTATCTTATTTTCCAGGATCGTACCATGAAGAGTTTATTTATGATAGTAACTAGTCCGCTCGGAATCATCATTTAGTGTGATTTCCGTTTATCTACATAAGGTCGCCGAATTCTCTCATGTTTTAGTTGCTGGTTAGATAATTGCCTGATGGGATACAGCGGCTCGTTTATCAAATTACGTCATGTGCACGGATCATTTCCAGCACGAATTAAGGATATTAGAAAGCACATGTCGCAAGCTGGAACGTGAAACGTACTTTGATAACTCTTTACACGTCTGCACTCTCTTCTTTACGATAAGGACACTTTATGATAAGGACTCTTTACGGTACGGTGACTTTATGATAAAGACACGGACCGGGACTGAGAAGTGACTGTCGAAGCCAACGCTCACTAAACAATTACGATGCACCGCAGCACCGTTCATACCTTGTGCCTATAATTGTGCCAGATGATTATCAATTTATGCACGTACGCAAGTAGTGTCGTTTTGCCTTCAAGATGATTAATGGTTCGCAACCGGAGCCCCTCTCAATGCAAACTGTCAACAAGTTTCAGGTTCCGAAACTTTCCCATCAAAATCAAAATTACGGTGTAAAGTTCGCTTGCAAAGACGGCAGTTTTTCCTTGTACTTGGTGTGACTACACGAACGATGAACCTCAGCCAAAGCTAAAGACAGACGAATTTGATCACGAGTCAACTATGGAAGCCATGTGACATATCGCTCCGCTGTTCGTCTCAGTCTAGTGGCATGCGCACACTTTATGCGCTCGTCGGAGCAATACATGTTAAAAACTCCAATTTCACGTGAAGGACCTCAGGTCTGGAGTGGTCTGCACCCGCTCAATTTCGCACCTCCAACGTGAAGCAGTATCGCCATAATTTAAAGTCGAACTTCACTTACACGCAATCAAGACACTCACATCAAAATGGCTTTGCTCTGTTCGAATTTTCAAGATTATCGTTTTGTAATTTTTTAAAAAATTATTTGTTTATTTATTTAGACATACCTTTAATGCCTCGAGTTGGGGTTAGTACAAGTGGTCTTGAACAACTAGTCGGAATTGCTTGGAGTCGGGTATAGTAACAATGGCGTCCGAGTGGTCATTCCGGTCCACAACAGCTTCAGGGATGAGGGAATGCTGGTGTGCTTGACTTGATGACTTGGGACGGGCGATCTTCCACGAATGGTCCAGTCTTTAATATATGCAGGTGGGTGGGTTTAGAAGAGACACTTTCAAGAAAGGTGTGTAAAATACTCTGTGGAGAAAAGAAAGACTGGGAATTCGACGGCGGGAGGAGAGTAGAAGATAGTTAAGATGAGACTTCATTTATGATACACTTGAAATGCGAGAGTAGTCATCAAAAATAAAGCAAGCAGCACGGTTCTAAACGGATTCAATGGAGTCTGGTAGATTTTTCTGATGAGGATGCCAGATGGAGGACGCATACTCTAATTTAAATATGATGAGAGTGGTGCACAAAATGCGTTTTGGGTTTTCAGATGGGGATCTAAAATTTTGGCGAATGTAGCCAAGAGAGCGGTTCGCAGAGGATATGATTGTTTTAATATAGTATGGCCAAGATAGATTAGATGTGAGATGCAAGCCTTAGTACTTGTATCGGTTAGTATAATCAGTAAAGGCAGAGTTCAAAAGAAGTACAAGATAGTTAAGTGACAATGAACGCGAAAAGTACATGCATTGACATTTTTTAGGATATAAGGACATGCGCCATGTGTGTACACCATTCAGAAATTTGAGAGAGGTCGTCCTGAAGCGTTAGAATGACATCAGTAGAGGTTATCTTACAGTAAATTACACAGCCCTCGGCAAAAAGTCTCACAGTGGAAGAGATATTGAGAGGAAGGTCATTAATGTATACTAAGAAGAGTAATGGGCCGAGTACTGTTCCCTTTGGGGGACACCACAAAAAACAACTCGGGGAGCATTTGATGTGGTTAGCATAAACAAACTGACGACGTTGAAGAAGGAATGATGCGATTAATTTTAATTTCTTGGGGTCAATCTTTAGTATAGAAAGTTTCACCGAGAGGAGGTTGTGTGGCACTTTGTCAAAGGCTTTGGCTAAATCTAAAAATAGAGCGCTAGTGGGGTAGCCGGAGTCAAGGTTTAGGTGAAGGTCATTAGTAAGAAACAGGAGCTGCGTTTCACAAGAGAGTTGAGGCGGAAACCGTGCTGCGCGTTGTTTGAAAAGGAGTCGCTTTCGAGAAATCAAACAGATGCATCAAAAATGATATGCTCTATGATCTTAGATGGGATGCAAGTGAGAGATATAGGCCCGTAGTTGAGGGGAGGGGACTTCCTGACGCTTTTGTAGACCGGAATGACCTTGCCGATTCTCCAGTCCTCAGGCCCCACCCGACTCCAGAGACTGCTGAAATATTTTGGTCAGAAATAAACAAGAAGACCGGTTAGTGTTCCGTAATATTTTAGTGTTTCTATTGTTAACGGCACAAGAAAACGAGAAGTTTAATCAGTTAATGTTTTGAGATACACCACTAAAATCTACAAAAACAGGGTCCACTGGATAAAAAAAACAGCAAAAACGTGGCCAGGTAAAGAGTCAGTAAAAATGGATGTAAACACTTTGAAAAAACATAATTGAACATAGGTGCACACTGATCATCTAGCAATACATCACCTGAATCGCTAAATATCTTGGGTAAAACTTGCTCTTTTGAGTTAACAATACTCCAAAAACGTCGACGAGGGTTATTAAGTAGTATAGATGGGAGCGTCTGCTGAGGGTACACATTTTTGCACTCTCGTCGTTTCATTTTGTAGTTATATGCGCTTTTTTATATTTGGACCATGACTCAGGAGTGCCATTACGTTTAGCAGCACGGAAAAGCCTTTTCTTTTTGTAGCAGAGAGACCTAAGTTGCCGATTAAACCATATGGTTTCGTCGAGGAAGGCTTGAGGCATTTGAATGGAATGTTAATGTTAACAAGTTCATCTATCTTGTTTTTAAACAAGTCCCAATTCTAGTTAACCTCTCTTAATTCATAATTAATTAAAAAAGAGAGAAATAGTCATACAAAGCTCGATTTAATTTTTTCCTGAACGAATTATTTTTTGTAGTTTCAATTTTTATGTAAAATGAATTGATTTGTGATCACTGATGCCGTCTAAGAATACCAAAGACGTTGGAAATATTTCAGGGTGAGAAGTAAGAACCAGACCTAAAATGTTTGAATAGAAAGGAGAGGCTCGCGTAAAAAGGGAAACTACTTTAGAACGATTGAAATCGAAAACGACGTCGATAAATTGTTGACAAAGAGTGGAGTTTCTAGAGCGGACAGGGGTTGGGTCGTTCCAATTAATGCACGGCAAGTTAAAATCGCCAAATAAAAATACGAGGTAGGTTGGATATTGTGCCAAAAGTAATGACAAATCATCGTGAAGAAGGCTTGAGAACGAGTGTGAAGCGTCAGGAAGACGGTAACAACCAAGACAGACCTAAAACTGCATTGCAAGCAGACCCAAACTATTTCAAGCTGTGAATGTTTACGAATAACTCTGCTAGGTGTCTTGCTATCTACGACTATAAGAACGCTACCACCGCTCCGTTGCTGTTTATCGAGACGATAGATAATGAAGTTCGGGTGATCAGGCAGTATTTCACTATCAATGACTTCAGGAGTTAACCACGTCTCGGTCAGTAAAATATTGTTGGAGCTGCAAGACGAGATAAGGGTACTTAGATGATCACGTTTAGATAAAACGCTTCGGGCATTAGCATATAAAAACCTGATGCCCTCATAGAGGCCTAATCTGTTGTTTCGAACTCTCCCCGCCTCATCCTATCGTTGAAGTTCCTTTACTAATTTAGAATGCTGGTCATCGACATACTTCCTTGAACCGATCATAAGTTTATAAAAGCGTAGTTTGAATGCGGACGTTTGTCGTTCGGCAAGTACAAGCAACGCCTTTTTTGCGGTGCGAACAGTTAGTGAGTAATCCTCAGATAATGAAAAGGGTGTACTTTTTAGCTCTAAACTAGAAAAAAAAAACAGCTTTTTTTTTTTTTTGAAAGAAACGAATTTTACAATGATAGGCCTCGTTTCCTCTTGACGGAAAGCACCATGTGGCGCGCACGCTCGACATGTGAGCTTCAAACCGCGACGCCCAAGTTGCCCTTCGCAAGGCCAAGTATACTTTCTGTTCAGAAATTTGTTGAGATTCGCTAGCAACGTCAGGGACACCGTAAAACAACAAGTTGGAACGACGCGAACGGTTCTCTAAGTCGTCTATGCGAGCAAGCAAGGTTGATGTTGCAGCACTCTGCTCGGACGTCACAGCTTGTAATTCATTAACGTCATGCTTAACTTCAGCAGTGATAGATACATCCTTTTAGATTGCTGTAACCCGGTTAGAAAGGGAAGACAGAGCAGTATTAAGGCTTTGTTGTTTCTGTAAGATTTTTTTTTAATGTTAACCTTAATGATTTTCTGTCCAGCTTCTAGTATAGTTAATTTGGATTAAATGGTTTGCAGCATAACGAACATGTCATTTAACTGCTTTTGTTCAGAGGCAGATAGTGGTCCCGGGTTTGTTTCTACATCATCACACTCCAGTAGCAATGTCTTAAGCATACAGAAATAATCGATAGCAGATACAATACGCACTCCGGGGCATGGGATCGGAAGGCATAGGTTGCTAGTTGGCTTAGCATATAGGAAGAAACCTGTACGAAAACGAAAATGTCCCGGTTAAGCGTCAGCACTACGCTTGTGCTCCTATTCCCAGTGGCGCGGCGACGCTCTGGCACGTCCTTTTGTAGGCCTGCTGAAGGGTATTCTGGGAGTGATGACAGGGTGGTGTCATTGTATCCACGAAGAAGGCGCTCCACGGAACAACTGACGGGGTTTCCAAGCCAGAAGACGATAATGGTGATCCCGGACTGTCGATGACGTTGGCCGGAACAGCAATGGTGGTTCCCGGAATGAGTCCTACCAAGACGAAAAACGGGAGCTGTAGGAAAACGAGCATGTCCTGGTCAAGCCTCAGCACTACGCTTGCGCTCCCATGCTAACGATCCCTATGATGTCTGCATAACGCGTTGCATACTGTGACAATTCAGTCCATATTAAGGTGAGTGTAGCGATGGAACGACAACGCGTTTGAATTCGTGGAACGAGACTTGCGTCATTTCACTTCAGGGGCCACTACATTTAATGGAAACAATGATTTGTTTTACAAGCTTACAAAAATACCGAAATCGTATTTTTTTTTTGCTTTCAGCCGCTCTATGAAGTTGTACAGAGGAACTATGAACGACATGGACGCGTTTATGGGTGCGTTGACTGCAATTGTTGAATACATCTTGGGAACATTGGTAAAAATATTTAGGATTTGTTTTTGCTCCTTGTTATTTAAAAGTTTTTGCGAGAAGAAAAAACACACACACGGACACACACTAGTTGTAATTGTCTTCCTGAGCTATCTGTTATGTTGAAAACCTTTTTTTTACGTTGCAAAGGGCGTTGAAGCTGAAACCAGGTGTTTGAAAGATAATCATGTCGTATTACACCTGAGACTGCGGAGATATTTGAAAGATGTTGACTTTTACTTCAAGGGACTCTGTAGCTCCACTCCACCCAACATTTTATAACGCTCCTGGATAAGGCACGTACGTAAAAATGGGCCTACAAACAAAAACAAAAAAAACCCAGCAACTATATCTTTAGTGCAATATTTATGCTACATTAATCATTTTAATTTAGGAGCAATTCCGAAGCATTCTTTATCTCTAGACGTCGACCCCGCAATAGGGGCCTGTTTCGGAATCACGCAAGCGTGTTTCGGCCTTAAATATTGCGATAAAAGTTTTTTTCGGGAAAAGTTTATTTTCTGATATAAGTGTCCTATCTGGGCACTTTAAACGTTTTTATAGAGTTCAGTGTTCCTTTGATAATGACAGATGACACATAACCGGGCAAATTACAGAGCACAATATTTTGCCTCTTTAGTGTGACCTTGAAATATTCTACCTTGATGCCCTTTCTGCCTATCTTACATATTTATTTTGGTCGGATGTGCTCTCCGAGCATAATTTTGTTCTATTTAGCAAAAACATAACAGAATCACGAGAAATGAAGTTCATTATCCCCAGATCCAAATCGAAAAGGTTAAGTCGACGCCAGCGCTGTCTAATTAATCCCATCGCTACAATACAAATAAGCTATACTAAATTGTTATGGTGGGCTATTTGGTTCAACATACTGAAATTATAAATCGCAAGCGAGACAAGGTCATGAGGTAGACAAAATAGCGCTGTCCTGTCTACTTCATGTCCTTGTCTGTCCCTTGCGCTTTGTAATTTCAATAAATAAGATATGTGCAGATAGGGCCTCATCTATTGCTGCTAGAATGATTCGGACGACGATAGAAATGCAGGGATGCCGTTCTTAACTGATACCTTTATTGTCATCATAATTTGAACCATTTTCAGGACGTACCAGGGTTTTGTTCCGACCCTGGTGGTGGGAGATCCGAACTTGCTTCGAGATATTTGCGTCAGAGATTTCAAGTCGTTTGCGGACAGATCGGTAAGCCTGAACTGAGGAAGTGTCTTTTGCCGCGGTAGCCGTAGAATGGGTGCCATATTAAATTAGCACATTGTGTGAGTTACATTTTCTGTTATTTTTATGGTTAAGATATACTGTTTTTTCTTTATGCTGTGATTATGTCGTGGGGAAAAATAGAATGCGTGTGATTGGGTACATTTTGATCTTTTCCTTTTACCGGAGATCATACGTCAATCCTCTATTCATTCAGTCAGTTTTACTTTCAATTATGAGATCCCTGCCGAGTTCCCTCCGTGAAAATTTTAGGGAGATAGCTTATTTACTTATTTATGAGCAGGTATGAGTACCCTCAGGGTTGCAAGGCATTGAAGATTACGTCACCCCGAGACGGTCCTATGGCACCTTAGAATGGGGCCTTCCCGTTTGATATACCTTCTCTCTTTGTGGTATGAAGGTGAAATCGAGAAGATTGTTGGAGATTATTGACAGTATTAAACGTTTCAAAACACTGCTGATCTTATCACCACCTACGCCGATCACGCTGTTATAAGCTCTTCTTCTCTTTCCTTCCATTTTAATTTGTTTTTTGTGTATTTTATTTTATTAAAAATATTTAATATTTACACCAGTTATGAAATGCGACGTTTCAATGAATATTCTTATCTCTTTCAGTTTTTTTTAAAATCCAATTTAGTCTGGGCCAGTACGGCCTTGGTTGCTGTTGCGGCATTAATTCCTGAGCATCATCATAAGTTTCATCATCCACTTTTTCCTGAGGATATCTTATGTTCACTTGAACCCGTGGCATTGTATATACGACTATGAAAAGGCTAATATATATTGACATGAATATTCCTTAAATTAGCCTAATCGGCTTGGGTTTTTTGTGGGGTTTCGAGTGTGTATCAACAATATCCAGATATTGAACATAGTTACAGTTGCTCAGACAGGGACAAGGACAGAGAAGAGGAACACGTAGACGACAGACAAGCGCACACTCACAACTGATGTATTAACGAAAGAGGAAAAGAAAGTGGTAGAGAACGCGGAGTCCGCTCGAGCGTTGGCCACACAGGCACGAGGGACCACAGGCCCGAGGGCTCGAGGGGGACACGTAAAATTACCCACACGAAAAAGATTTCAAGAAGGCAATTTCCTCCTCTGTTAATGAAACAGACGGAAAGCTAACACATCGCTCGCCCATGCTTAAGATAATAAAAGCTTCAAAATCTGTCTGGTGCGTTTTCCTCGGTACCTGCCTATTATCTTGGTTTTCGCTAAGGATGGCGTACAATTACAGGATTTACAGTGCAGGGGTAGACGGCCCCCCACCTTAGACTTTAGAGAGAGATTGTGCTCTCGTAGCCGGTCGTTCACACACCGTCCGGTCTGTCTAACGTAGCTTTTACCACATGAAAGGGGAATGCTTTATACTACACTCAGGGAGCAGGGCACATAAAAGTGGGTGTGGTTCTTGTGGCACTTATGTTTTTTTTTTATTGTTTACCTTAGCATGAACTTTTTGACAAATTTGAGCCATTTTTTTGGGGGCTGACATCACTAAAGGGACCCCGACCAGCTAGCCACCTTTTTAAGATTGTGGGAAATTCTCTGCGTATACGGGTCGACCACAATTCTTTTTTGTCAAAACTGGGCTTAGGTTTTTGAGCTCCCTTCACTCTCTTGACCTGTGTTCCCAATACCTCAGTCAGCACCTCAATTGGAAAGCCCCAGGATGTCAGCCTCTCAATTTGAGCTTCAAAACTACATTGGAAGGTATGAAAACAGGACTTATTTAAGGCGCTTGTAAGGCATGACATAGCTATACCCCTTTTAACGACTTTTGAGTGAGAGGACGCCTAGTTTAGGATGCCTTTCTTGGAACGAGGGGAAAAGGTCCAGCACAGGTGATTGGGTAGCAGGGAAAGCGAAAGGTCGAGAAATTGCAAAATTCCTTCCTTTGGCGTTTCACAGGTAAAGACAAGTCCTAAACCACATTTGTGGAAAATGTCCATGGTCTTACCAACAACATCATCATCGACTGTTTTTTTTGTACACCAGCAGGAGGTGGTCGACATATCTAAACACTTTTGTAACAGTCGTAGGATCAATGGAAGACTCAATAGCACGGTCAACACCCGAAAGAAAAATATCGCTTAAAACGGTGCTACACATGAGCCAATGCACACACCCGACTTTTGCAAATAAACCCCATTTTGCCACCCTATGAAAGTAGAATTAAGATAGAAAAGGAGTTCTAGGAAACTTTCTAAGGTTACCCCACTTGAGTTCCGGAAGGAAAGTTCATCATGTGACTCAATGCAGGACCTGACAGAGGTGAGCAAGGAATCATGAGGAAGTGATTAGAAGAGGTCCTGAACATCCACGCTGAAGACACTGTGATTGTTAAATCGTTTGTCTTCAGAAATTCATGAACAGCCTCCGAATTGCGGATCAAAAAGGGGTCGTTAATTTTTAACCCTGAAAGGTGGTTTTGCAGATATGTCGACACTTGCCGTTGTCACGAACCTCTTTCAGTGACAATAGCTCGGATTGGGCATGCTTCCCTGTGTGTTCTGGCACTAAAGAAGATTTCTAAGTGCAGCTCTTCAGCTTTTCTTATGTTGGCAGCTAACTGTGTTAACACACAGTTAAAGGGCAACTCCGCTTCTTTTCCAGTAGTGCAAAACAATACAGTTCTCTTTGTTATCATATACAAAACCCCCATGGCAAATATTACGACGGAATTCCGCCTAGAAGTTCATTAAAATCGCTGTCAAAGTTTGACAAGCACGAATCCGCTGGTTTTGGATGACACGTGCGGGCCAGACAACACTGCCCGGCTGCATTTCCGCTTCCTCCAAATTCCTTCTACCGGCACGTCCGCGACGTCACCAAGCATGTACAGCTTTTTTTTTTTTTTTTTTTTTTTTTTTTTTTTTCGGGGAGAGCGTGGGTGGCGCCAGCGCCGTGAAAGACGTGAGTGACGCGCTCGGCCGGCCCGGCGCTCGACTATTGATACTACTGATCAGCCGATCGCCTCGTTGAGCGCGGCTTGTGTTACATCGCATACTTTTGAACACCAAGTAAAAGGAGGAGAGGGAAGCTGCTTTTGTAAGAATTTTGAGTGACAGGTTAATCTTCTATAATCTTCTGGGAGGAGAATAGCGACGCCTGTGCTAATCCAGGAGGCACAAAGGAGGATCCTGATAAGAGGGGAGCTCCTTCTTCCCCTTGTATATCACGTGGGTGTACATGCTTAGTGATGCCGAATATACAATGTTGTCCGGCTTTGCCACCGTTTCGGTTTCAGTTTGTGATCATGGCTAGAGTAAAATTACACGAAAAATATTTTATTTTTCGCGAAACAAAAGATTGGGGATTGTTTTTGAGTGCTTCAAAAAGCAAAATCGGCCACTATCTCAAAATTTTTGAATTTAAGCGGTGTTGCCCTTTAACTGTGTTAACTGTGTGTTAAAAGTGAAGAGCCTTTCTCTTCACTTTTTTCATCACATTCTGCACCTGTCGAAAGTTCTTTTGTACTGCTGCGTAGGCTTTTTCATTATACATGCCTTCAGGCATTATCACGAAGGAGCCTCTTTTATCGGCCTTTAAAACACGCCGTTGGTTGTCAACCAAGAAGTTAACCAGAGGCCTAGGATCCTGGGTCTGGACTTTCTCCGAACCAGAAATAGCTTCAACACATTCAAATATACATCGAGGTCGTATCTTCTCATCAGTCTTGTACGCCACCTTTCTTGCCAAAGTAAGTAGCTCCGGAGGTCGCAGGTTCGGTTGAAAGCAAAACTTGGGGCCAAGATCCAAGGTTGATTGAAGGGATTGAGGTACCACAATATCCCAGAGGTTGGTAAATCTTCCTGCTGCTGTAACAGGTTTTTTCTTCTTCTTGGGGAGGTTTTGTCGAACTCGCTGCCACAAAAACTCGGTAACATTACTCAATGTCCTATTCATTTCAGAAAAGGATCGTCGTTGCCGGTACAAATCGCCCCCATTGACGCCACGGGCAACCCACAGGCAGTCTTTGAAGAATCTAGCCTGGCGCCAGTACTCAGATCTTAAAATTTTGCAAACCCTTCTCACACACCCTACAGAGGGTGTAAGATAGCCACTGAGACCAAGAAGTTCAACAGGGCAGGTACCTTGTTTGATGTGCCAGAAGGCAGCCCGTGCGCTGCACACACTTTGGGCGGCCAGGTTGACGAGAAGATTAAAGTTAAGGAAGGAAAGATTGCAGGAGACAGAAGAAGAGCCCGATGTACAAGAAATAAACTGTAGTAGAGTAGACAGTCGGGCGAGTTGGTAGTTATTGAACATAGTTACAGTTGCGTACACGTGTTCCTCTTCTCTGTCCTTGTCCCTGTGTGCACAACTATAACAATGTTCAATAACTACCAACTCGCCCAACTACAATTTCCAGATATATTTTCACAGATGACCTCGATAGTGCCGGGGAATATTTATCAGCATCTACGATTATTTATACTGTGAAATAATTCTCGGGAGCTTTGGCACTAGCATTGCACTCTCCAATAACACTGTATGGACCATTTTTTTCTAGGAAGACAAAATCACTGGAAATGATATTTGGGACAGGATGGTCCTAAACAGTACTGGAAACGAATGGACTTCATCGAGGTCGACAGTCACTCCTTCCTTCACGTCATCCAAGCTTAAAGGGGTTAGTTTTTCTCTTTTCTTAAAAACAAAATATTCAGACCATATATTTTTTAAACGATTAGTTTGTCTTATCTTATACTGCAAATTTCCCAATTGCTGAGTGCTCAGTAACAAAGTCGAGCCCCCTGACAGAAGAATTCTGAGATTCCGATGTTTGTGTACTTAGACTTCTTGCTGAGTCCTGTATATTTCTTATATAATTTATTCGCTCCTTTTATCGATGAAGCTATAGTGCGCCCTCTCGTGTTGGGTTTGTGATGCGATACGGACAGAAAAATATATGAATAAAAATGATAAAAATGCTGGTATTGCTTTCATGTTGAAATTGTTGCTGTCATTGGAATTACAACTAGGCTTTAGTAGTTAGCGATTTGCACTTTATGCGAGACTAGATTGTCCGCCCGGTGTGACATGAAATGTATTCCTCGCTTTGCGTACGATGGCTCTGCAAATAATCAGCGCGCTGAAATAATCAGCTCTGCAAATAATCAGCTTATTGAAATTACGGTGTTGACAAAAGTTTCGCATTTCGCTTTTCGCATTTACAACATAACTGGAATATTAATCCGAAACATCCTCTCTTCTAGAGCTTAAGTTGATTTGTTTAAGTTTGTATAATGTACACAATTCGTTCGTGCAGTTCGTCTCCAAAGTCCTGAAAGTAGCGGAAGGTGTGTGCAGCCGCCTGCTGGAAAAAGGAAGAGACGGTGGTGCCACCGAAATTCAAGAGTAAGAATTGTTTTTCATTTGTGCAAAACCGACCTAAAAAACGGGGAGACCTCATGATTTTAATGCAATTAATGGAAAGGTGCAGGGGAGCTGGACAGAATAAACGATAATATATATGATCATTATCATTACCATTTACCTTATCTTATCATTTACCTTACTTCATCATTTAGGCCACTTCTGAAAAATCCCAAAATAATAGTTCAGGATTACGAAGGACGACATCTTTTCGAGCTTTTCAAGAACACATTATTTTTTTAAATTTAAGTTATATGCGTAGTGACGTCATTGATTGTTATTTTCAAGTTTTAAGAATAATTGGACTACTGTTTTTTTCATACACAAGTCCTCGATATCTGACCTTTTCCTTACGCGCAGCGCAATACCAGATTTCATGCAAGTAAGAATAGAAACAAGTATCGAATAGGTAATTTTCATTTGATGCTTTGAAATTGAACCTTCTCTTGTCTAGCTATACTTAGGCAATTTTTTTCTCCTGGCAAACAAGTTAATAATTTTTATAAGTTTACTTTTTTTTTTTTTTGCTGGCGTACATAGCCTACGCAAAAGTATTTTAATTTGACAAGGAGCCGTAAAAACATGTTTTGTTAGAAAAGGCGCGAAAGAACCTACTACATTTTAAAACAATACCACAAACATTGTTCGGAATCAAAAATACGCAGACAATTGAAACTCTAATATGATGCATCATATTCGTCTGTATTGAATTTTGCTCTCAAATTAAATATTACGTATAACAAGTCGTCACTCTTAAACAAGTGAACGAATCTTTGTTGCAGCACGTTCTCCGAGAGTGCCATGGACGTCATGACATCTCTGGTATTCAGCATAGATGTAAACACACATGATAACCCTAATCATCCAGTTGTAGATTCCTGCAACGGTCTATTTGGTGGACAGGGCGGATGGAAGCTTGTGATGCTATGTAAGTCTTGCAGTATATATACTTTCATCAAATATATTAATTGTACAATACGCCATAATATTAGTCTGTAACGCATCACCGGCGGAATCGTTTGAAATCAAGGTATTAAACAAACTGGTTATAAATTATAACGTGAGTTCTGGTTGAGGTATTCGCGGTTGATAATTCTGAAATGAAGAGGAAAAGTAACGCTATTTCATCTGCACCATAATATTTTCTTCAAACAGTAAGCATTGTACCAATCGCTTAAGCGTTACAGTGAATGTCCATCTGTTATATTTATACAGTTTTCACAGACATAATTGAGCGATTTCATAGTGACTTAGACATTTAAGTAAACTTTGTATGTTGTAAACTGCCCCAGAAAATAAATTCTGAATTATCCATTTGTTTTCTCCAGTTGCAATGCCCAAGGTACTGAAGATTTTGAAAAGGATTGTTGAATTCCCCAGTAAAAAAAGTACAGATTACATGATTCAGTTTACAAGGTTCTTAGTTGACCAACGCATTGAAGAAAAAAAGGTGCGCACTAATTATTATTATTATTATTATCATTATCCTTATTGTGGTCTACAGTGGCGCTAAGCTGCATTTGGTTTTGAATAATGGACTTTACATGTTTTAACTCTTCCAAAATGAAATTGATACCATATCAGTCTCAAACAGTAGCAACGTTACCTGAATACCAAACGACATGCGTCTATCTTCTTGCAGAGTGCGTGACGAACTAATCATTGCGATGTACAGAAAAAGACAAGAGGATAACGATGACTCAATAATATATATATATATATATATATGGGTGGTTTCATCTCAAATCGTGCAGGCAAAAAGGGTCAAATTTTTAATTTTGATGAAAAAAATATATGTTATGGCGCCGTTTCTAAAACCGCAGTCGACACAAACCGAAAGTTCGTCAGATTTTTTGTTCTCGACTTATGAATTTTTAAAGAGGCCGCGGCGAAAAGCAGTGTTTTTCACACCCGTCGTGGGTCGGATGTTTCGCTTGATCTCCCGCCATGGATTTTCAGTCTACATTATATTATATTTTTTGAAGCACTCTGTGGACACATTTAAAAGGCTCCAATACCATGAAATAATTTTATGCCTTTTGCTTTTTTTCTGTAAAAATGTCAAAAACGCCTCCTCGGTCAATTGTTGACAAACTTTGACAATTAATCACTGGCGATCTACTTGGGTTACACCGATATTTTTTATGTCCACGGAGAGCCCAAAACACGCTCTTTATATTTATTATAAAATGCCTTGGCTGTATAAAATATCCACTGCAGTACGTTTACGTTAATATTATGCAAAAACCAAAAAGTACCATTTTTGAAATTGATTTTCTCAAAAAACCCATTTTTTATTTTTTTTTATTTTTGGTTCAAATGTAGATATGATAGTTGTCTACACGAAAATCAAGCCCAGAAAGTGTATATTTTGTTTGCATGTTTTATATTTAGGCCTCAATATCGGAAAAAGACGTCTTTGTTTTGCAAGACCTAAGTCAGACATAGCGACCCATGCGTCTCTATGAATTGTGAAAAAGTTTTCTTAAATTTTCTTCTGCATTTTGTAATCAATTATAAACAGATTTTGTGGTATTGAATATTTATGTGTGTCTTGATAAGAGCGGGAACCATGAGATACACATCTAACCAAATCAGCAGGCCTAGTAGACTTTCAATAACCAAAAGGCACAGACGTTGTATTGTTTCGATTTATAAACCTTTCAAAGTAAACTAGCACGACTAGCTATTAGCTGTCATATTACTAAGACAAAGAAAGTCACCACATCGTCGATATATTATATACAATTCTTTACGAAACCAAACACTGGGGCTTGTTCACCGCACATCGCACAGGTCACCAGGGAATGTCCTTTCACTTCCGTAATATACAAAAGTGGTGACACAGAAACGGTCCGAAACACACAGAGAGTGCGTCATGGACAGGGGTAGGAAATAAAAGTAAATAAATAGGAATTAAATTGCCCAACTCCAATCTTAACGAAAATTGCGTTAAAAAAATAAATAAAGTATTTAGGTTCGAGCGGTGGCAAGGCGATAGGTCCAGGCCTGGTGGAGAGTCAGACAAAGAAGTCGACGGCACGTAAAGGTAAAAAAAAAAAAAAATCAATAATTTAATAAAGACGGGAAAAATCAGCCGCACATGGCAAGAACAAAAACCAACTCCTCCGGGCATTCCCTAAACGGGACGCAACCAAATGCGTGCGAACACGCTCTCTACATCACCGCCAGGCCGCTACGCCATGACGAAATAAACCCAACAACCGAACAGTGCTAACAAACAGTTAGTAAGAAAACATTGAAAAAAAAAACCTTCAGAAAAATCCGCACCCGAGAAACAAAGTTTAGCGGGGCGAAGAAACACACACGAGTCGGTCCCACGACATTGAAGTCTGGCAGGATGACGGCGTCCAGATGATGCTCGAATCTGTTCCTCCCTCTATTACGCACATCCACGACGGCTGTGCGGTACAGAGGCTGTACGAAAGAAAGTGAAGAATAGATTCGAGCAGGCGATGCGCGAGAAGGTAACCGGGACTATGCTTCAAGCTTCATATCGGGAGAGGAGCTTTCGAGGTAGTTTCTGCAGTTACTCAAACTTTCTCTTTCCCTTTCCTTTTTTCAAAAGAACACGTCAGCCGGCGCTAACGTTTCATCTCGGGAGAAGCCCACTCCTCACAAACGGTTATAGTTGACAAGGAGGCTGACTTCAACCCAACTAGTCTCCGGGCAGAATACAAACACAAGTATATTTACCAACACGCTCGCTTTAATGTCAGTCTCCGGGCTTTGCTGTTTCCAAAAGAGATAACCCTTTATAAGGACAGAACGAGCGGGCTGGTGGGGATAATTAAACTTAAACACTCCCCTCTCGTTTTCTTCCTCAAGTTTAATAGATAACCCTTCGGTGCTATCGGATCTCCCCGGAGAGAGAGAGAGAGAGCACGGCCGTTTCAAGGTAAGGATAGAGCGCTCGAAGCTATAGGGAAAACAGGCGGTATCGTTTCACGCATGCACGGATGGCTGGTTTCAAATTTCCCCACATCCCTAATGAAACCGGCCCATCTTCGTGTGTGCGTCTGCGGGATTTCTGTCCCGCGCCGCCGGTTTTAGCGCGCACGCGGCGTTGTTTTGGGTGGCAGAACAGTTGTTGACCGTCGACATTGTAAGGCCGTGGTGTCCTCATCCTTTCAGGCAACGATTCCTTTGCTTTCCCTTGTACAATACTCTGACTGACTCCTCCTGGGTGGCTGTCACTGTTCGCCGCGTCAACGACAGAATCGTACCATTTCACTCCTCGTGACACAGGGTGCGCTGCTCGCTTTACTGTCACGGGCCGTCCCATCTAACACAACGAGCGCGAAAGGTCGTGGTCATCTGCTGGCTCCGAAAAAGCGGGACGTTCATGCAGGCCAATGAGGGCCCCGAATCAATAAGACGTCTGCCGACTCCTACACGTTAAAAATTTACGACACCTGCTGGTCTGTTAAAGGGCATCTCCGCCGTAATTTTTATAGCCATCGATTTCTATAAAATTTTCACCATGTATTTGGATGCCCTTCCTGAGCATGTGTACGAAATATCTCGGGAAAATATTAATTTTCTTAGAAGAAAATGAATTTTGAAATTTACACGTCCACACCCAAATCACTTGCTGCCGCCGCACTGGCAACACTGAGGAAGAGCGGCACACGGAGGCTGCCATGATGGCACTGACGTTGCCGTGACGTCATATGTTGGTCAGGGTGCTTGCTTTGGAGCTTGTTGGTGCTAGGACTGTCTGGTTTTTGCTTATTTTATCGGTTTATACAGCACACGCGAGCGCGCTGATGAAATGCACGTTCACGAAGCCGAAGCTACATGCGCGAATGATGTCTCAAACGACGCTTTTACAGCGCGAGAATGGAAATTGAGGTTACGAGGCCCTAACGATCTTCCGTCCCCGCGCTCGTGCCTTCTGTCCATAGGGAGTTTTAGTAGATAGTTATCAGAGGCCCGCTAAACCTCCGGGCGCGCGCTAGAGCATGCTTGGAAGTGGCGGTGCGATCTCGCGCTACGGAAGCGTCGCTTGAAAACACGGTCTACTAAAACCGTCTATTGTCAGACCCCAGGATATAACAAAAAGTGCCTCCAATTAAAAGGCATAACGTCGATCAGTTTTTCTTGGCGTGCTAGCAACAAAAACTGCCTTACCATTCCGCTTCGGAAGCGGCATCTGGGTCCACATGGCGGCGGATCACGAATGCAGCCGCCGCTGGGGCTTCCTTCGGAGGCGATGCCGGCGGATCCTATGAAAACGGGTTATCGTCATCGTCCTCAAAATCTAGCCGCATATCCTCATCGTTGCTCGATTCAGACGAGCTTGATGAGTCAATTTTCATCCGCGGCACGAACACAAAACAGTGACCTGCTGCCAGGCTGGCCAGGCTCAAACTGCACACGTGCGAGTGTTTATACCATATGTGACGTCACATCAAAATGGCGGACCAGTCGAGTGGCAAGTTAGTTTCGGTTTCGGTTTCAGCGTATTTTATCGATTATAAATTATGTAAACAGTTTTTTAATGATTTAACGGCTGCTATAGGCTAAATTTTTAGTACCCTTTCCGAAAATATGTTTCGATAAAAACGCTCAAATTGACGGCGGAGCTGCCCTTTAAGAAGTGTTGCTTTCTCTTTTTGGAACTCCTCCGATGTAGCTTGCCGCCTATAATAAAATTTAAATAATCAATAAATATGTCAGGGTGGAAATACTGTATTTCATTTTTATGTGGGAACGTCGAAAAAAAAAAAAAAAAAAACAACTATTTCCAAGCTTGTGAAGACGCGCAATTCGCAAGTCCATTTCGAGCCGTAAAAACACGTTTTTGTACGATATTGATGCTTAAATGTAGAACATACAAACAAACAAACAGTATAACGCAATGGTGCACGAATTGGCAGATGTCGCTTAACAGTTCTAAGTGTGTGTACATGTGCGTCACACGCAAGAAAACGCCCCTTGCTTTTAGCTACACCATCAACAACCATCCCTTAGAAACTGTCAACGAATACAAGTATCTCGGTGTTATACTCACGTCAAAACTCAATTGGAACAGTCATGTAGCATGGATTGTGCAGAAAGCGATGGTGAAACTCTGGATCTTAAAAAGAAAACTAAGACACTGTACACCAAAAACAAAACTAGCAGCGTACAGCACCACCGTACGCCCTGTTCTGGAGTATGCTGACGTGGTATGGGATCCCACTTCCAAAATCAACGTAGACCGAATTGAGGGAGTTCAGAAGAAAGCACTTAGATTTGCGTACAACGAATACAGAAGAAAAAGTTCAATTACAAAATTATACGACATATCAAAAATGCCTCGTCTTGAAACCCGTCGCAAGATAAATCGTCTCAAGCTTCTTTATACTATCGTGCACAACTCTTCGCGCATGTCATTCGAAAAGTACATGGACTACAACTCAAGCAGGCAAACGCGCAATAAGCACTCGAAAACTATTGTGGTCCCTTTCTGTAGAACTGACTGTCTAAAAAATAGCTTTTTCACGCGAACAATCAATGACTGGAATAGTTTGCCTGAAAGTGTTACAAATGCAGCCACAGCGTCATCATTTGCAGCAATGATAGAACAACTTTTTTCGCGGTGACTGCAGACGCTATATTAGGTTATTATTGTTGCATGCTATTTTTTTTTCTTCTTTTTGTGTGTGTACACAATTGGTACCGTTTGCTCGAGAGTTGATTGTGTCAAGTGAATCGATGCCACTTTGTTTATTCATTTTTTTTACCATGATTAAACACTTTTTTTTTCTTTTTTGATCGCCGATGATTTGTTAGGTATGCTTGCTGTGTGCTAGGTTATCGTGCTATTTTTGTTTGTGTCTGTCTATGCCCACCCCTGCCCTGGCTGCCAACAGGCGGCTGGCAGTATGTTGAAATAAAATAATAAATAAATAAAATATACACTTTCTAGGCTTGATTTTCGTGTAGACAACTATCATATCTACATTTGAACAAAAAATAAAAAAAATAAAAAATGGGTTTTTTGAGAAAATCAATTTCAAAAATGGTACTTTTTGGCTTTTTCATAATATTAACGTAAACGTACCGCAAAGCATATTTCATACAGCCAAGGCATTTTATAATAAATGTAAAGAGCGTATTTTGGGCTCTCCGTGGACATAAAAAATATCGGTGTAACCCAAGTAGATCGCCAGTAATTAATTGTCGAAATTCGTCAACAATTGACCGAGGAGGCGTTTTTGACATTTTTACAGAAAAAAAGCAAAAGGCCTAAAATTATTTCATGGTATTGGAGCCTTTTAAATTTGTCCACAGAGTGCTTCAAAAAAGATAATATAATGTGGACTGAAAATCCATGGCGGGAGATCAAGCGAAACATCCGACCCACGACGGGTGTGAAAAACGCTGCTTTTCGCCGCGGCCTCTTTAAAAATTCACAAGTCGAGAACAAAAAATCCGACGAACTTTCGGTTTGTGTCAACTGCGGTTTTAGAAACGGCGCCACAACATATATTTTTTTCATCGAAATTAAAAATTCGACCCTTTTTGCCTGCACGATTTGAGATGAAACCACCCATATATATATATATATATATATATATATATATATATATATATATATATATATTATATATATATATTTAAAGCAACATGCGCTAGGACTTTGAACAAACATTCATGTGCTCACCATTCCAGCGTACGTGGAATTTGTGAAGCCGGACGTTTTCCGTGTTCCTGACTCGCTACTTACTTCGGACAAAAGTCAATGCGTGTAGTCTCCGTGTGATTTGGGCAGGGAAGGACATGCGGTTGTTTTCTTTAAAAAAAGGATATTCCGGGTAAATGTTTTTTTTTTTTTATGTCTGCAATAGTGGAAACCAGTGCTGTGAAACTTTTCTCTGGCTCTTTCAACCAACGAACAATTATCGATTTTAAGCTCCCTACTTGGACACGCGTTTGTGGCATGCTAAAATAAGGCAAGACATTAAATTTATTTTGGTAGTTGAATATACTTCAGCAAGGTGGACTCTTGTACTTAATTATTACGGGAACCGGGAATTTTATTACTTTTTTGACCGTTTTAATAATACGGATAGAGAATTCTCAAATATTGCTCGTCGGTTCCACGGTGTAATATGACCTCATAGTAAAGTACGATTGTGCGACGAGCAAGAAGTAACCGTCCTTATCACAATACATTTACTCTAAGGAGTAAGGTGGCGGGGCGCTTGTGTCAGGAAGACGGCGGGTGTTCCGCACGCTCTCGTGTCTCGTGCGAAGGAGGAGGTAAGCAAAAAAGGATAGGTTTATACTCAGTGTTATGAGGCTAGTTTCAGTAAAAAGAGCGAAACGTTTCAAAAAGGTCCACGAAAAGAAACCCGTAACATGGTTGCTAAATTTAGCGGCCTGATGTTCCGCCCTATTTAGCTAAATTTAGTAAGTTCGGCTAAAATTTGTTAAAAGTGACAAAATGCTAAATTTACGTGTCCTGCACACCTACTGTATTCATGGGATTAAGATGTACCTTTTTTTTTTTTGAAGCACAGCAACAGCTGCTTTGATTAGTCATGAGTTTTCACCTTGCGGCCCTTTTCAACCAAGTTGAAGAGACTTCAATAGCAAAGATATGCAATTTTGAAAGGACAATATTCTTCCATGCCCGAATAAGTTTTTTTTTTTGCAATAAAATTACTTTGGACATCGAGGGTCCCTTTCGCTTCTTATACCCGTCACTATATTTTATTGTCAGGGTTTACTTATTTCCGTAATGCACGAGTCGTGTAACCTCCTTTAATCACCGTAAGTAGTCTGAAGACACAAATAACTTAATCATAAAATATTGTGCAGATCGTAAATCTTATAAATGTAAAGACTCCCACAAAAAATTTCATTCTTTCAGATGTCTCGACTGTTAAAGTATCTTTATTACTGTGTGTGGGCGGGGTGGGGGTGGCGGCGGGGGGCGGGGGCAAGGGGGGTTATTGTGAAGCAAATGAAAGATTGACATCTAACTCCCATCTGGAAAGGTTTAGAATCAATTCAGACCACTTGGTGGGTTGGACATGCTAAAATTCGAGACGGGGGATGAAAAAGAGGACGCACATGACTCATCACAATTGATACGTGTTATATATTTATGGTTAATCATATCGCTTTCCTTTTTACTCTTTCCTCACTTGGTGGGACCATGTTGCAACCGAAATTCCTGCCTTCTTAAGAACAAGCCTTTCTAAAATTGCCGGCACCTCCCGCCCAAAGTGTGCAAACTGTACGCACATTGCGGTAGCGTTCTTCACGACGACTATGGAAAGCGTTGTATATGTTTGTGTTTTGTTTTACATCAAGTGCTTGGCGAAAAGCTGTTTAGTGCACGTAACTTTTTATTTTTTTAGAAGTTCGACGACGTGTTGCAAATCCTGCTGGAAGCAACTTTAGAGGCGAAGGACAAAGATAGTGTTGAAATAACAGGTGCGTTTTATTTGTTTTGAACTTTTAGTTGTCACTATCAAGCAGCCATTACACCCAAATTTAAGCAAAATATAAAAAGAAATCTAGCTTTACCTTTGTCTCCTGTCAATAATCCTCGAGTGTATACCTAAAAAAATTCCTATCGCCAAGCAAATTTCGAATATCTCTTACTAATGCGTAACAGTGAGTGTGCATGCTTGCTGGTGTTAAATAATCACTATGTAGCACCTGAGACTGCGGTGCGGAAAAATGAAGAAGCTTTCAATTCGAAGAAAAATACAACAATAAAAAAACTTATTGAGACGTTCCACAGTCTACGGTGTTACGTTATGATTTATTAAGGCATGCTTTCACTTTCCATGTCTATGCTACTGATTGTAAACATATTTTGACAGCGAGAATAAATCGCTCCGAATTAGCGCCGCATTTGTTCTGAAAAAAAAGAAGAAAATATTACGTATGCTGGCATTATCACATTCTACGTGTAATCGGTATTTTGAATATTATGTATTTTCATTTTTTATTAATGTGTCACGTGTTATGAAAGTTTAATAAACTTTATGGTTTGTTTTATTATTTGCGTCTGATATCAGATAGAGATTAAATGAGAAGTACTAGTATACAGAAATATAAAATAAATAAAAATATCCTGCATCCCGTTCGAAATTTAGCATCGGTTCGACGAAAAGCTAGGACTATTCGCTTGTCTATTTTATTTTTGCGTAGGCTTTTATATTTTAATTTTGTTTTGTGTTTTTTGTCTTATATACCCAATACATGCAGTAGATAACAAGGGAGATAGTACCATAAAAATGAAAAAAATAATTACAATTAACCCGCAGCCCGTTAAAGATTGGACATTAATCATCGTTATAGTCTCTTACGTATACGTTCACAATTCGGCAGAAAGTTAAGATTCCTGCATGTCAAAATGTTTTAGTCGATTTTTTTCTTTTGCAGATGCAGAGATTGATGAAATAGCCTCTCAATGTATGTTGTGCATTGTTGCTGGAACTGACGCTGTAAAGCACACACTGACCTGCGCCGTGTATAACTTAGCCATGCACCCGCAATACCAGGAAAGATTGATACAAGAAGTGGACGACACCTTAAAAGAGGTACGCGTGCAGTCTCAAATTCATTTCTGGATTGGAAACTATATTGTTTAGGAAACCGTACGAAGAAGTCAGCGTGCGTGACTGATCGTTATTTTAGCTCATTGGGATATTCGTGTTGCGATATTTCATTAGAAACGCTTCGAGCAGAAAGCGCCTTCATTTTGGCACAAATAATTTCCACGGGAATGTGTTTTTTCTCCTTCCTTCGTAGACGGATGTGACCTATGATGCACTCAAGGCAATGCCTTTCCTTGAAGCAGTAATCTACGAGACACTGCGAATGTACACACCGGATTCGTTGTAAGTTCCCGCATAGCTAGATTCTACTTCGTAAAGGCTGCCTTCACGACTTTGGGTGTGCTCGAGTGTTTTACTTTCCTTCGTAATCGCTCAACATTATCAACATGATTCTCAGTATACTGGCACCAAGCGTTTTTTACGCGTCATTCTTTCACCATGTGCTTGAAAAAAACAAAATAAAAGTCACAGGTTGCCATTTTTTATGAATAGTGCTTGAATTTAATCTCACAAATAGTGAAAAACGTTTCAGCGTAGTTATACTCAACTTGGAACTGTTCCAGGGCAAGCGATAGATGGCGCCAGTGCGTCAAGGGACTGCAACGAAATGCAAACGCACTCGAGCACAGTCGGGCGCAAATGCGCTAGCCAGCCTGAAAGCTTTTTCACTGGCTGCGAAATATATGAAGACTTTCTACCATAATTGCAACCTGACTCAGGGCATGGGTTTTAACGCGTATGCTTAGAGTCATTTTCTTATATTATTTATTTCGTGTAGCGTTTTTACCTTGTCTACTTCCATATGTACTGCTACGTTTACTATAAAGCACTATTTATTCGTGGGAGCTAGATTGACCTAGCATCAACGAAAG